AGTGATGGAAGTGGAAAAAATTAGCGAAAATATTGGACGTTCACAAGTTCACAACGGTCGTCGTCTTCAACTTTTCATTAATTTTTATTTTCATAATTTAAGTTTAATATTTTGGAGTATAATTTTTTCTTTTCTTTCTATAAACGTTAAAAATGTTTCAACCACCATCAATATGTTAATCTCTTAAAAATGTTTAAATTTATTCAGAAAAAAATATTTATAAGTACAACTTTCTGTATTTTTAATAGTTTTATGTTGAAACTTCTCAAACTTTGGCTGACGTTGTATTCAGTGAGCCTTGTTTTTGTCGGTTCTGATTTATTTTGCCGCCATAACTTTTTCTACAAAATTTTTTTATTTAAATTTCTTCATTTTATAAATAATAATTATTTAACAATTTTTTTAATATAACCATCACAGCAACCTGAACTTTTTGATATATTTTTATCTATTTTCCTCTTGGATCAATTCGATTTTTCCATTCATTTGTTTGCCGTTGAAATATACCAGGCGGCATTAACAATGTAATTGACAATTTGATGTACCGCTGAAACTCTAGGTAAGCTACGTTACATTGCATCTACATTATTTTGCTTGCAGTACAAAATGTGTGTGTGTTTGTGTGTGTGTACGTGTGTGTGTGTGCGTGCCTGTGTGTGTTGTGTGTGTGGTGTTTGTTGCGTTATGTGTTTTTGCGTTATGTGTTTTTGCGTTAACATATTTTTGTGTTGTTATGTTCAGAGGTTGTTGTTTGGTTAGGCTAATGTTATATAGAAACACATTCAATTTGCATGATGAGTGCATATTGTAAGAAATTAATTCATCCATAAATCAAAATTGTAAAAAATAAATGGGAAAATATAAATGTATGAAAAATAAAAAAATACCCACACTTGTTGGATATAATGCATGCTTGTTTGTTCGTTCGTTCGTTCGTTTGTTTGTTCGCATGTTTGTGATTGTGGTGCTGTACACATATGTTTGTGAACATTTATAAACATTTGTGCTATTTTTCGTATCTTTCCATATTGCCTGGATTGCAGTGTTGAATCCAGGCACGATGTGTGCATGTGTGTGTGTGTGTGCGTGCGTGTGCAATGTGCGTTTGTGGTACGTACGTAGATACATGTTTCATTGCCTGCATGTTTTTGCGGTGTAGTGCGGTTTTGTATGGTGTTTCATACTGCAGGCTGGTTGGTTGGTTGGTTTGTTGGTGAGTCTTTTTAATTTAACGTAGCTTTGTATTATTTGTGTTTGTCTTTGTGTGGTGTGCGCCATGAATGCGTGCTCATCCCATGTGTTGTGTTCATGTTCACATGTGTGTTTTCAGCCTACTTATATTTCTTTTGTGCAGTACTTCCTCGTTACCAGGCTCGTTCATTCTTCCGTGAATTGTCATCATTGTTTTAACAATGGAAAAAACTTGAATACGCTCACGCACACGCATAAATGTACGTGCATATAAATATATATATTGAATGTGTGTGCGCGCGTGTGTGCGTGTGTGTGATGCTTGTGTTTATGTGTCCATGCGCCGTACGTGTGTGTAGCTATTTGTGTGTCTATATGTGCGTGTGCATGAATATATTTGTGAAGTACTCTATAAATAATTTATGTGTTTTCAGTTTTGTGACCAAATAAATCAAATAAACAAAACAAAAAATTGAATCAATGCTGCAAAGTGAGCATAAAGTGGAGTGACCCAGCTTGACCTCCATGACCTCCGTGACCCGTACTTATGGTCATCAGCATCGTTTCAACGGTCCAACACGTCCATGAATATAATATTTATCTCTGTGTTTCTATGTTCATTTCATACGCCTTCATTCGTTTGTGCATTAAAATGTCTGCATCATTGTCGGTCAGTTTGTTTGTCTGTCTGCCTGCCTGTCTATATGTCTATTTGTCTATCTGTCTTTCTGCCTGTCTGCGAATATATCATATAGAAAAAGTTTTCGCATGCCCTTGAACTTTCATTATTATCGTCTGCTCATAATTTTCCGGCGCTAACTTTTCATTGAATGGGCCCACTGAACGGTGACTTTTATACGCGCTTATATTTTTGTTGCGCTTCTTATCCCCTATGCACAGTCTTTTATATGCAAGTTTTTTATCAATCACGTTTACAAATGGCCGTACGATCTTTGAGAGTGTTTTTAAACAAAGATTACAAACGTTTGAGCCACCGTCAAATACCTGCTGAATATAATGTAAGCAAAAAATGAAGTCAGCAGAGTCTCATTACGTATCTATTAATAGGAACAAGGTCGGTTGGAAGCGGGCGACCACCGCATACGACAGGTGAAAAACTTTTTATGGCTTTTCCGTGTAGTTGACAATCAACTTCTCAATAGATAACCAAAATAGTTGATAAGTTTGTTAACAATAATATAACATTAATAATAAATATTATTGTTGTTGTTAATGTTGTCGTAATGAAATAATAATTATTATTATAATTAGTAGTATCAATAACATCAGTAGCAGAAACAGCAGTAGTAATAGTTGCATCAGCAGCGCCAGCAGTATTAGTAGCAATAGTGGTCAAAATGTTAGCAGGAGTATCAGTAATAGTTGCAGAAGTAAAAGTAGTAGTGGCAGTAATAGTAGTAGTAATGAGAGAACAACATACAATCAATGAAAACAACAACAAACAAACCACAAATAGCAACAACAAACATACAACAACAACAAAAAAAAACAACAAACCAACTCAGCAACAAACACAACATTTCATTTAATTCCTCAGAAAGTTATTGAAGCATCTTATAACTGAGTGATCAAAAATTTAATTTTGTAACCGACGTTTTGCACCAATTGTTCCGGTACTTCCAGTCTGGTTCACATCACACACGTGCGCGCACACACACACACGCACACACGCACATACACACACTCATCACACACACACATACAAATAGATAAAAACATAAGAAAAAGATCAAGATAAAATGAAAGATAAGAAGAAACACAAGAATGGTGGAGTCAAAGAAAAAAAGAAGATTAAAAATTGCGTGAACCGATGTAATTAGCGACAACATTTACAAAGCTCAGGTTGACTTTTCATCGTGCCTTTCATTTTTTTTTTTTTTTTGTTTCCGTATCGAAAAGTTTTCATTAACAATGTGTACGTAGTCAGTCAGCTGCGTTTGCGTACATTCCTGGCGTATTCATGTCATGACATATGCTTCATTAACTATTCACTGATGCCAGCTTTTTATTTGGGAACTTTCATTTCTCTCACAGCATGCTCTCTTCTCGTTCGCAAAAGTCTAGATAGTTTCTATTTTTAATTTATAGAAAGTTTAATTGTTGAAACTTTGTGCTATCATAGAATGATAAAACATATTGTTTGTGTTATCATTCTATGATAACACAAACAATAATAACAACAAACGTATAAATTTTTATATAATAAATAAAATTCAAAATATAAAAAGATATAAAGATAAATCAGAAAATTAAATTATTTAATTCATTAAGAATTCTTTTTTTTAAACACCATCCTATGATCCATCAATCGAATAACGTTGAATGAGGTGTAAAATAAATTGAAATAAATTAACGAAAACCAAAATTGACGCTGAAAAGACTTTAAGCACCAAGTCATCAAAATTTTTGTAAGAAACTTCTGTATATAAAAAAATTAAAAAATGGATAGAACAGGGGATAAGAAAGACGGCTCACATGCATTTTGTTTAGACGCTCTGGGAAGAGACAACGGCATATTTATTCGTGTTTTGTTTTTTGTATCATAAAAAATTTTTAAACATTTTTATGTAGTTAGCGTAAAATAACAAAAAACACATTGGATAACAGTGCTAGCTGTAATTTAATTATCAACAAAGAGAAACAACGGTTGAGTTACTATACAACAGTATAGAGAACGTAAACGAACCACGTAAGTCGACGAGTCTTATGTTTAACGGTAACATTGATAAACTTTCATTCAAACATACTAGAATCAAAAAATTTGATTAATGCATGCATGATTAAATTTAAAAATATTATTTGTAAGTTTTTTCCTAAAAATTTTAACGAAAGCTTTCAGCATTGCACTAAAATGTCTTTAAGAACTTCGGGTTTAATTTAACGGAAATATTTTTAATAAATTTTCTAATATTGCCTACAATACAAACTTATCAGACATAACCAAAAGCCATAACCAAACTTATCAGACATAACCATAACCGCATAACCAAAAGCTTAAACCAGACATTTAATCAATGTCTAGCACTTCCAGAACATAAATATTATTGCAATCATTTCCGTATTATCTTATTGCAACTCACATCATAATTAGTATCTAACTCATATTTGTTAAGAAAGTCTTCTTACAAATACTTCCTTATAAGCAAAATCGACAAGTCTGAACATGTTCCATTCTTGTTTTAAATTTATTTTATTTCAGTTCATTTTTTTGTTTCAATGTTTTCATCTATCACGTTGTTCAAACCACAAAAATTCTAAAGTACGTTGGTTCGTTGTTTTTTTGCATGTTCCATATCATTTGAAATGTCAATTGGTTTTATTTGTTTTAAGATGATGAATAACTTGGAGGAAGAAAGTTTTTCATAAACAATATAATGCCATGTAATAAAAATTAAGTAAAAGGAAATATTTTGCAGAAACGAAAGTCGAAACAATGAAATTCCAATTGTTTCTTCGTTCTTTTTGTTGCAGTTGCTTTTATTATTTCAACATTTTTATAACTGAAATTTATACTCAACAATTGTTCTATTCTGTTTTTATTTTTTTGTTATAGATATAATTTCGTAGTTACATTAATTAATGAAGATGATGTTGTTCATTTCATCATGTTATTATACATTTCTTGTAATTTTCAAAGTTATTTTTGCCGTTTTAATAATATATTACTGTTGAAATCACCAAATAATTTTCTTCCATACCTACAACGATGACGCTTCGAAACTTCTACAAGTTCTGACACAGCATCGAGCGCATATTTGTTTTGCGTTATTATCATTATCACATTGAACATGAGCATGGCCATCATCGAGGCGGGAGCCGATGGTGAAATTACGTTTACCGGAACAAGCTCTCAGATATATGGCCGACGGGAGAGTTTGAGCAACAAAGAAAAAATTAAACAATTCTTCTTAACAGCAATAAAAATGAATCTCAATGTTCCCTAGCACTCGCGCAGACGTTCTGCTACTCGATTCAGAGGTTTGTATATCTGTAGAGCCGCGTTCATTCAATCTCTGATGATTCAAGTTTATGGAGAAATATCGAAGCGTTTTAACGCGCACACAATGTTTCAACGTTTAAAACTTGTTTGCGGCTTGTATCAATTGAATGCTTTTTATGGAGTCTGAACAAAATCAGTGACTGAAACTCGATTATAACTTCTTAATAAAAAAAACACATTAGCGCACTCACCTCGCATCAATTTGAATAACAAATTGTTGAAGATAATTTCAATTCCAGTATTTGTTTTGTCAAAAAGTAATATTTTTTTTATAAGAATTGTATTAAAACATAAATGGAAAAAACTTAACAAGTGTACAATTAATCAATCCTATTAGACATACACACGAAAACATACAAACACAAACAAAAGTACAAACAAACAAACAATCAGAAACAGACAAACAAACCACCAAACACACAGTTGCGGCCAACAAGCACCCTGAAGATGAATGGTGGTTTGGTAGTGCACTGTCCATCTTATCGTGGATCATTATATTCGCCACACTACCCTGGTCACTATGTCTGTGCCTTAAGGTTCGTATGCCGTGGTCAGCTCAGATAACCACCAGCCTCATGTATTGTGATAATATTTACTAAATGAATTTATTCTCTTGTTAGATGTTTGTATATTAATATTGGACATGTTTATTTTTATTAGCTTTTTGTTCATACTAATAATTAATTAATTAATCTATTAATTAGTTAATTAAGTTCCACATGAATACTGTAGTTCAATCAAAATTAACATTCAACATTTCATACTCCTACTAGGTTATTAGACATCTGATGTTATTAGATATCTGTTATGTGTTAAGGCGTTTGAAACACAGTATTTTTGCGTTTGACAATTGAGTGAAATCTGAAATGACGTCAGTGAGACGGAATTTTTACGTAGCCAATATTTCTCTTGGTCACGAGGTTAAACAATGATTAATTTTATGTGAAGAGTAAACCTATCAAATGATCACAATCCTAACTTGATGAAAATCTGTAAATGTTTGGCAGTTAATATTGTGGGAAAACAAAATTTTTTTTTATGTTTCAATGTTAACAATGTACGAAGTGTACGAATGAAAATATGCAGTATAATAAACTAATCAAAACTACAAATGCAACCGGAATGAATAATATACAAAACTTTCCACCATTCAAACACTAACCAGAAAACTATTCAGTTCGAATTCTGACCAAATCTTCACCGTCGTTTCCCACCAAATTTTCCAATTAGATCATCGTTAATCTTGCGCTCATCCCTGTTGAACTACCACTCTATGATTGCTACCATCAATTTCACAAAATCATCTACACAAGTTACTACATCATCATAAAAAAAAATTAGTGTCAAATCATTATCATATCATCGGCATTGTTATCATCACCGTTATCATCATCATCACCGCTCAGGTGGTTCAAGAGTACGAACGAGCTGTCATCTTCCGGCTGGGAAGGTTGCTTCCACTTGGTGCCAAAGGTCCAGGTTGGTTGGACTGTCGGTTGATTGGTTGGTTGGTTGGCTGGCTGGCTGGTTTTTGGTTGGTTGGTTGGTTAGGTGGTTGGTTGGTTGATTATAAAACATTATCATTCTTCTATGTGAACTTTTCATTTTTCCACCTCCTCTCACCATCTCACCATCTCACCTCCTCTCATTTTCTCACTTTCTCACCTCAAGGTCTCTTCTTCATCGTTCCCTGCACTGATTCCTACACCAAAGTTGACTTAAGAACTATTTCCTTCGATGTTCCACCGCAAGAGGTTTTTACCGAATTTTGTACTGCTTCCTGTATTTGTCGTGGTTATTGTAGTTGTTTTTGTTATATTCGTTGTTGTAGTTGTTGTTGCTGTAGTAGTAGTTGTTGTTGTTGTTGTTGTTTTGATTGTTTTTGTTGTTTTTGATATAGAGGTTGTTATATTGTATAGTTTTACATATATTTAGCATTTTTTTCGTTGTTATGATAATTTTGTTGGTGAGTAAATATAAGAAATCCTTGTTAGTCAGTGATTGCTACGATTCAAACCAACAGCCCGGGAATTAATATTCCCCATTGTCTCACAATCAAAAATTTTCACGCCGGCCTTCAAAATTTTTCATTTAAAAAAATTGTACTAAAACCATTCTCGGCAGCTTGATAAATAACGTTTCACCTTATAATTTTATCCATATATTGCAAGGAATACAATGCCGCCAAAACATGAACCGGCAACACCAATTGGCGAACTTCAACCATGTCAACCTACTTAGTCATCCATTCATTCGTACATCCAATCTCACCCACCCCACACGACCCAACAAACACACAAACAAAAGCGCCAAACAACTTCTACTTGCACTGAAACATTTAAGAGCAACTAACCACAAAAATACCGTCTACGGAAACATCTAAGCAAACTTCCGCACAAGCATGTGGAAACATATTGCTGAGATTCAAAAACTCCAATCGATATATTTACATGGAAAAGAGCTGCTGTGTATGTCATCATGTTGTAATGAGAGCGTTTAAATACACATTTTTCGTCCGCACAAATACAAGTCTGGCTATTCACGTTGGCTTAATATTAAAATAATGCGTAGAAAATGATAGTGGCCAATTTAGGAAGCCACGTCAAATCATAAAAAAAATATTGAAACAACCACCCCCCAACAACCACCCTCCAACAGCTACCCCCCAACAACCACCCTCCAACAGCTACCCTCCAACAACCACCCTTCAACAACCACCCTTCAATAACTACCCACCAACTCCACCCAACAGATCCTCTCGAAAGATTCGGTGACGGTGGCTGTGGACGCTGTGGTATACTACAGAGTTTCCAACGCCACGATCTCCGTCACGAACGTTGAAGACGCTCACAGGTCCACCAGGTTTCTCGCCCAGACGACACTTCGAAACGTCCTCGGCACGAAAAATCTCAGCGAAATATTATCGGATCGTGAGAACATTAGCCACTTCATGCAGGTTGGTACTTTTTGACGTGTTCATTATTAAGCATCGTCTGTTTATTTAAATTATACGTTATCAATTTTTTTAAATCTTGCTTCATAGCTCGTTTAAACATTTTTTATTAACGACGCAGACCTGTCTAGACGAAGCCACAGATCCGTGGGGAGTGAAAGTGGAGAGGGTGGAAATGTATGTTCTTACATTCCTTTGCAAACATTATTTTTAAATAAAGATTCCAAAACTTTTAATTTAAAATTGTTTGCAAGCAAACAAACAAAAATATTGATGATTTGAAAATATTGAAAGCTAAATAGCTTCTAAACATTATGTTTACTTTCAACGGCAGCATAAGATTATTAAATAAACTGTCATATTTTTAACAAACACTTAACACAGTTGGTGTGAGATTATTTGAGATTATTTTAAAACATTCACTGCCAGGAAAGACGTCAGACTTCCAGTTCAACTGCAACGAGCCATGGCTGCTGAGGCTGAAGCTTCGAGAGAAGCGAAAGCCAAGGTTCAACACTCCTCTCTTAATTGAACCGTCATTTTGCTACTTAATTTTAGGATAATTTTTTTATCTCTACATGAAGCTATCCAATAAATCGTACGATTAGTTACTATGTTCAAAACTATGCGTTGTGCAATCAGTAAGTTTAATTAGTTTTATCTTTTTCTTGATGATATTCCAGAAACGTTACAAACATGTTAATTACAATACAAAGACCTTTAAAAATATTTATTCCACTCACGTACATAATGCACCTGAGATGAAACTAACTTGCAGGTGATAGCTGCTGAGGGTGAGCAACAAGCAGCAGCAGCTTTGAAGCAAGCTGCTGACATCATCAACCAATCATCTCTCGCGCTGCAACTGAGGTTAAATGTCAATTTATTAACTGACCTTTAAATGTTATTATGACCTGTACATATGTAAGTTAAACATGGGCTTAATTTCTTCTTTGTCAGACACAAAGTACAAATGATCATTCTTGAATGGTTGATTCAACTATTTTAATTGTTAGGAGCAAAAAATTATCCTTGCCGATGATAAATATGAAAAATTAAAATCTATTGATGTGATTATTAATTATTATTATTATTAATTAATTAATTAATTAATACAAAAATAATGATAATGATACACATTCTATAAATTATATTAACCATATTTTCCATAAATCATTTCAATCCAGGTACCTTCAAACGCTGAGCCAGATATCAGCTGAAAAAAGTTCAACCATCATTTTTCCCATTCCAGTCAACTGCTTCTCTCCGTTTTTGAAAAAATAATTATTTTTTAATTATTTTGATAATTTATTTTTAATTATAAAATTATGTTCGATTATTTTTTCAACAGCATTCTCCACATAAAAACGAACGCAAATTTTATTTCTTAGCCGGTGCTCATTTTTGAACATTGTCCCAGAAATGAAATTTTGTTTAGGAATTTCCTTCTCAGTTTCTTCCATGGATATATATCATATCCATGATTTCTACCCATAACTTCATTTGCCCGCAAAAGTGCATACAGAAATTAAATATAAAAATCAAATTAATTTGCAATTTAATTTGAATCCAATGTTGCAAATTTTAGAAAAATATTTCAAATATTTGCTATTTGTTGTAAATTGAAAATGAAATAAAAAAGGTGAATAAAAATTAAAAAAATTGTATTACACAAACAAAATAAAATTGGTCAAAGAAACTTATTAATTTCAACAAAGACGTTTCTAAACGTGAACCTTACGGGGCACGTGAGTTTTAAAACTTTAAACCTTAACCTGAATGACCGTCCTCCAATTAACATGAAACAGAATGTCATCTACGATGTATGGCTTGTCAGGCTTAAAGGTTTTCATTAATGGCACAGATTAAATTAATATCAATTTCAGTATAATATTTTGTGCTTCAAATTTTCAAATATTTTCGATTGAGATATTTTTTGTTTGGACAAGTCGCCGTCTGAAATTTTGCGTTGAAAGAAAACTGCCCAACTTATAAAAAATTTGGTAAATTATCGTTGTTATATATTATTTGTGTGAATGGCTGTGTATGTGTGTGTTTGCATGTGTTTCTTTATGTGTTTTGCATGTCTGTATGTGTGTTTGTATGTGTTTCTTTATGTTTTTTGCATGTCTGTATGTGTGTTTGTATGTGTTCTTTATGTGTTCTTTATGTGTTTTGCATGTCTGTACGTGTTGTGTTGGAGTGTGTGCTGACATTGAATAACCTATTTGTGACAATGTTTTGGTCCATTCGAATAGAAACGTGCTATATAACAGTCTAAGTAGGACGAGGCATCTTCTGCAAACAAACTATTTTGTTAGTTTTTAAAATTTTAAAATTTTTTAAAATTTGAATTTTTTCAATGAAACTCACGTCAATATAAGATTCTGGTTATATGATACTTTCGAAGATATGGGTAAAATTTGAAAAACCAAAAAACTAAATAGAAATTATTTACAAAGCTAAGTGTATGTATGTATATGTTTGTTCATTTACATTATTATAACTATAAGATACAAATTTTTATTTGTTTAATGTAAAATGTTGTGTTATTTAAATCGTGATTTCTTGCGTTAACTATTTTAGCTTGTGCTACAATCTCTATTTGAGTGTTCATTTTATTAATCAAAATCAATTTGCTTCCTAGAACTATGCTATCCTTACTTTCTGAAACCGTAATTTGTCGTACTATATATAAATTTTAATCATAATAATATGAATTTATATTCAAGGAGGTTATTTTAAACGGCTATTTTCATGACATTTTGTTATTTAATTAATATTTTTTGAAAATCATTATTTTTTGTTGAAATATTAATAAATTGCAAACTGTATGGCTTGAAATCTGCATAGTTAGGTTACTTTAAAGATGTTTATCATATCAAGATGGCATCGTGGCTAAAGTCAAATGCTGCTGTTTCGCAGAGCATCTGCATGCAGTGGGTGGATTCGAATGTGACTAAAAGATCCACGTCTATCACATGCTCCGTACGTGATGCGTCGTTTGGCAAATTTTCACGTACGCTGTTTGTGTCTTGTTGATTCCTGCAAACCTAGAAAGAGTTTAATTAAAAGATCCTTAACCGTTTTCAATGGTATATTATTTATAATGTATACTGGAGGTAAGAACGCTAGTTCTTGTGTTGTAGAGTGACTTGATTCGATATGCAACTGTAAGAATATCCCAGTCCGTCACATGATTGTGCCGTTTTGCTAATCTCGCCTAACAAGTAACTAAAATAAAGAACGAACTTTGTCTCAGTAATTCTGTTAATAAGGTTATTGGACAGATTTTTATCCGTTTTGTTGATAGTCAAATATAGGTAGCACAGTTTTTGGCAATATTCTTCAAAACTGGCAATTGCAATCTAATCGATTTTCAACTAATTGAGAACAGAAAGGAGATAAGGCGAAACAAATATAAAGTATGCTATATAAAGTATTTTTTTAAACTTGGTAATAATTATGAAATAGTTGCAATCGCAGTCTTATTGCTTCCAACGAATTATGAACATAAAGGGGAAAATTGAAACAATAATATAATTTGTCAGCGAAGAGAACTGTGATTTAGTGATTTAATCAAATGCATATAATCAAATTTATTTGATCAACTCATTTATGCATGTTAGTTGAAAATCATCATTCAATATCACATATAGAGTAAAACTAATATCATATAACAATAATTAATAATATTAACTGAAATTTCGACATCATAAAGGATGTACACAGTTGGTCAGTATGGTGATACCATATATGTATGTTAAAATGATCTGGTTTATATGACATAAAATGATGTGATGCGATATGATATGATATATTTAACACGATACGGTACTATATGATACGATACGATATGATATTATTCTAATTATATGGGATGATATAGTTTATTTTGCCTAAAAATTTCTCTAAAGAAGTTTCAAACTTCGCCCTCGTTAGCTGCGAATGAATAATGTCATTTTGTAAACAACGGTGGAAATTTTTAAGGAAAATGAATTTTTTAAGGAGTGAATGCTGCAAATGAACTGAAATATTTTTAATTCGCTTACAGATTTTAATTATTAAATTGTAAATATTTTAAATCGTTTTTTAGCCTGCTTTTAGCGATTTATAACATGATGTTTTATTAATTAAGAAGGCAATTAACTAAGAATTAATAAAATTAAAAATTATTAAAAATTAAATTTATTAAAAATAAAAGCAAAAAGTAGCTACTCAACCTCACCTTCAACCAATAATTACAATAAAAATAGTGACACTTGCAGACAAACACCAAAACATTACAATACAATTAAATTTATTAAATTACATTCCTTTTGTTTTGTTTCTTTCCAGTTCAGTCAGTTCCATCAGATTAGCATTAGTGATCTATCAGTCTATTCTATTTTATTTTTATGGGGGGCCAACAAGGGAAAGAATCTTCAAAAAATTCGTTAGGCAGAACAAAATCTGATAAGAACAAATTGAATCACAATGCTTTGAAAGAAAATAAGTCCCTGAGTGCTCTAGCAGGTCTTTGACTTTTTTAATTTAATAATTAAATAATTTAAAAAATAAAATAAATTTTTATTCATAAGGTTTAGTAAATAAATACATTGTTAAACGGTTAAATTATTAAATTAATAATTTGTTAATTAAATTAGTTAGATCATTAAAATTTAATTTAAAATATTCATTTATTTTTATTATTTTATTTTGAATGAATTACTTAATTTTTAATTTAATCAACATTTTAATTTTTCTTAATTATAAATTAACCTTATTCATTATAAATAAAACTAAGTTCATTCTAACTTTATCAACTTTAAAATTATAGATAAATACTATTTTAAATTTCATTTGCATGTTATATATAATGATGAAATATTGAAATACTAATAACCCATAGACCAGTCATCTTCGGAGGAAGTGCTGGACAACTTGAATCATTCTTGGTCATCGAGGGAGAGCCTTCTGAAGCCCGTGGAGTCTGACAGTCAGAACCTGTTCATAGCCCTGTACGACTTCACGTCAGGTGGAGAGAATCAACTTAGCTTAAACAAGGGTGCTTCTTTAATTTGTCTATTTTTTACTTAAATACCTCTATTTTTAAAGAATAGACCTTTGTAAACTACTTAGTAAAATTAATCTCTATCATAAACTTTTCTGTTGCTATTTGACTTATTTTCAACTAATTTCTATATGACTAATATTGGTTTTAATTTTCCTTTATAAAAACACTTAATTTGAATAGACATTTTTAATTCTTTCTATATTTTAAATAAGCCAAAAACAATTTTTGATCTATATTTTTTTGCCGTTGATGACTATTCAACCCAGGTGACATAGTGCAAGTGCTGGAACACAATAAAACAAAAGAATGGGCCAATGTTAAAAAGCAGCAGAAACTACCTAATGACAGCAGCCACATTTCAGCAGCATCGACAATCATTGAAAGCATCGGATGGGTTCCTGCAACTTACATTGCTTCGGTTTCAAGTCTGGAAAAATTTTCTTGGTTCCACGGACCAGTATCTAGGAGCAAGGCTGAGTACCTACTCAGTAGTGGCATCAATGGAAGCTTTCTTGTCAGAGAAAGTGAGAGTTGTCCAGGCCAACTGTCTGTTTCATTGAGGTTTGATGGGAAGGTTTATCACTATAGAATCTACCAAGATGATGTTGAGAGTAAGGTCAGCAGGTTTAATTTATTATATAGGTTTTATATGGGATTGAGTATTGATATATTGATTAAAGGTCTCGCATTGCAATGACTGAGTTTGATTGGAATGAGAAATCATATGCATTGTATGTGATGGATGGTTTCTCATGTATGTTATGTATGCTGCATGTATGTTATGTATGGTGCATGTATGCTATGTATGCTGCATGTATGTTATTATCTTTGAATGATACATAACAGAAAATGGATGACTTTTGACTTTTAAATAATTGAAATCTGTTGCAGTTAAAATAACTTTTGAAATCGTATTCAAACTTGAAGTTTCATTGTTTCTAGCTGTTTGTGACAACAGAGAACAAGTTCAGCACACTGGCAGAGTTGATTCACTTCCATTCCAAACAAGCAGCTGGCCTGGTCATCCACCTGCAGTATCCGGTCACGAAGAAGAATCAACCATTGGCGTTTGGAAACAGTCCTGAACCTGACAAGTGGGAAATTGATAGGTTGGACATTCAAATGAAACAGCAGTTAGGTCAGTTGAATTCTACCAATTTACATTATTCAACGTTAGTTAGACCAGTTTTATTTGACCACTGGTAAAAGTGTGTACCTAATCATACAAAAGAGGGACTATGAATTTTGGAAATAAATTTCATTTAAAAATTATCAAATTGCTCAATAATTTAAATATGTTTTGTTTCCATCATTATGTTGTAGGCAGTGGTCAGTATGGAGATGTGTATGAAGGCATCTGGCTCTCCAGAAATCTGACTGTTGCTGTCAAAACTTTAAAAGTAAATCATTGATGCCATTGTCTTGCTTAGAGCCATTCCTTTTTTTATGATATTACATTTAGTGGCATCATTTTCATTCCAGTTATATAAATTAAAAAACCTTCTGATTTACAATTTTATTTAGGAAAGGTTAATATTTTATTAACTTTTTCAGGAGGAGACGATGGTCTTGAAAGATTTCTTGGAAGAGGCATCAGTCATGAAGGAGATGAAGCATCCCAATTTGGTTCAGTTATTAGGTGGACTCATCTTTCTTCTCATTGCAACTCTTAACTTTCATTTTTTTTAATTACTTCAAAAATTAATAAATAAGTAACTGTATCAATACTAATCATCAATATTCCCATCTATTATTATGAAATTGTCCATTAAATTTTGCCAATGATATGAAAAAATGTTTAAATGTTTAATAAAAACACAATGATCTGCCAACCATTAATGCGTAAATATTTCTAATACAAAACCTAAAAACCATAAGGTGTATGTACTTTGGAGCCACCATTTTTCATCATCACTGAGTTCATGAGTAAGGGTAACTTGTTGGAATTTCTTCGAAACAGTAATGAAGACGAAGTTAGCTCCACAGTTCTTTTTTACATGGCTACTCAAATAGCATCTGCAATGGCTTATTTAGAGGCCAAAAATTTTATACACAGGTTACTTTTTAACTAACTATTCAGAATCAGATAATTTGCTGTTTTCTATCCACTGAAAAAATGCTTTTCATAATTTTTTTTGACAAATTCAGAGATTTGGCTGCTCGAAACTGTTTGGTAGGAGAGAACCACCAAGTGAAAGTGGCAGACTTTGGCTTGGCGCGTCTGATGAAGGATGATACCTACACTGCACATGCAGGAGCCAAGTTTCCGATTAAGTGGACTGCCCCTGAGGGACTTGCATACAATCGCTTCTCAACCAAGTCGGATGTCTGGGGTTTGTGCAATGTTAACTTTTTGTAATCGTGATAAAGTTTTTCTATCATCTATTCATTATTTCTGACTTTTTTTGAGATTGGAATATTTATTTTATGTTTATTTATAATATTTAATTTTTCCGGTACTAACAGTTTTTTACCTTTTACATCATGAAACTTAGTTTAAAAATTTGTTAATCAGCTTTCGGAGTTTTATTATGGGAGCTAGCTACCCGCGGCCAATCACCTTACCCTGGAGTTGATCTGACGGATGTCTACCACCTACTCGAGAATGGATATCGAATGGAGAAACCTGATGAGTGTCCCTCCGCTGTTTACAGATTAATGAACAAATGTTCGCTCGCTCTCATTTCTTCACTTGTCTTTATTTCATTCATGTTATTGGTTTCTAAATTATTTATAATATTTATTTGTTATTTGATTGCACAAACTTGGCCTTTTTTGATCAAGCTGGATAAAATTATTTTATTATTTTGGTATATGTTGTCAGTACTGCTAAATACCTAAAAAAAGTACAAATGATGTTAAACACGAAGGTTGGAAGTGGGAACCTCATGATCGTCCATCTTTCAAACAGATCCACGATCTGTTGGATAATGTCCTCTTCACTGCTAGTCAGACATCAGCAACTGCAGGTTCCACTCATTCTTCAATTAAAAATGATAATTATAATAGCATTGTTCAACTGATGATAATATTTTTTGTTGAGTTTTTTGAATGTCAGGCTTACATGATCTCGGTAAAGACTTCAAATTGTTCATTTTTATAACAGATAAAGAATTTGAATCAGGTGATGAAGTTGAAGATGAAAAAATAAAAAGTAACAAATTACTTTATTTTATATCTTCTTTATTTAGTTGAAATTGTTTATACTTAGGAACATTTGTTAAGTAATTAATATTAGATGTCGTAACTTAACAAACAGTTGTTCATAATTTTTTAGGATCAAATATTTCTCCAGGCTCAACTCTCAGCTCGTTTGCTAGTAAATCAAATTTAAGAAGAGCCCCTGCACCTCCCGCAAGAACCAGTTCCTTCAGGGATCAAAACCTCAATTTTATGGGTCTGGATTATGAAAGCAGATTTATGTTCGATAGTATTAATTACAACAACATCATGGATGGAAATAATAACATCGGCGTTCAGAACCCATATAACAATAGCCTAAACCAGGACAATTCAACTGCATTGGATACGTCACATTGCTGGTCTAATGACCATCTACTCAGCGAGTCTTTCAGTGATCATGTTCAGTCGCAGAGTAGCAGTGATGATTTACTTTCAACATCTGCTAGTCAATCTCGCAGTGGCAGTTTTGACAGAATATTACTAAGTGGTGGCGGGCATAATAAAGTTAATAGACATAATCATCACAGACAAGCTGTTATGGAGTCCTCGTCTGAATTGATGCCAGATGCAGAAGATAAAAAAACACCGGACACAGACGGTTCGGATTCTTTCTTTCCACCACCTCCTGCGTTTTTATTGTTGGAGGAAGAGAAACATTCTTCTACCTCGAGGCAAAACACTAACGTGGAAAAATGCAACAAGTTGAAGATTTTTGAAAACAAAACAACTCAGAACTCTTCAAAGAGCTTGAGCAGGCGTCAGACTACATCTGGAATGGGTCTAGGCAAGGAAAATTTAGAAGAAGATAGTTTCTTTGATTCTGGTCATTCCTCTCCAGCTCCAGGAGCTTTCTTTTCTGGAAATGCTAACAGTGAAATGGCTCCAGTACCTATGCCGAGAAACTGTGTGACCATGCCAAGGAATGCACCTGCAATGTCCTGCAGAGATGAACTTAACGAGGTTTTAGGTCGCAGAAGGAGATCAGATCTAAATAAAGATAAGGATGTGTTGAAAAGCAAAGAATTATCACCAGAGAAATCAGCCGGTGAAATTAGCAACAATATATTTTTGAAAAGAAAACTCAAAAACACTAAAATAAATGAAAATAAAACTGGAAATGTTAATGATGTGTCTCAGTTATCACACACTGTGGGTGTCATGCCAACACCTGAAGTGCGAAAAAAAGTTGAAGACTGGCAAGCAAGTGTTGAGAAAAGTCTTATCCAAGAGGATGAACCTAAAAATGTGTCATCCAATAAAAAATCATTTTATTTTGAGAAAAACATATCGCCAAGTAAAGAAAAAAATTTTTGTTCTGGAAATGCAGTTGATGATCAAACTGTTGCCCCTGTCTGCATCTTGCCATCTCAAGCGTTGAATTCTCTTAAAAAAGTAAGCAAGAAAGTAAACAATGTTGATGAACCTCAAGATAATATCAATTTATTGAAAGATAAGAAAAATGTTGTTAATTTGAGACCATTATCCAACAATTTAAATAGAGGAAGTCCCAAACTGGGCATTGTAGCTTTAAGGGAAAAACGGATGTCCAGTTGCGAAATAGGCTCCACAAAAAATATGGACGATGAGGTTGAGCGGAAGTGGACATTACCAAAGCTAAAGCCAGTTGTCAGGGATAATTTGAGTTTGAAAGATCTCAAAAATGAATCATCTTTAGCAAATGTAAAATCAATAAAATCTCCTATTCCTGAAGGAAACCTCGAGGAAAATATTGACGAAAAAATATCATCTAGCAAAACAGCTCAAAAAATTCATGAAAGTTCAAAAGCAAGTTTGAATTTTTTGAAAATGCGCAAGTCACCGTGTAACGACGATATTTTAAATGACCAAAATGTTTTGACGAGTCAGAACAACTTTTCAGCTGCAAAAAATACATCACCACCATCGAAGCATTTTGTTGCTAAAACTGATGTTGATACTCCTAGCATTAACTTTCTCAATGAACTCAAGCAATCTCAAACAAGAATTGTAACATCTAATAATGCTAAAGTAACGCAGTTATCACCAAAAACATCTCCAGACACACAACAAACTTCCAGTTTGTCAAATACGAGTTTAGTAGATGCTAAAGCATCTTGTGCAACATCTCCCAAAAAATTTATAAACATCATAAATTCATTCCAAAACCAGCTGAAGTCTGATTCGGACAGCGCTGTTGACTCTAAAACGATTTATGTTCCAAATAATAGCGACTCAACCGATACAGTTGACAAAAAGTTTTCCAAAGAATCAGTTTTAGATCTACTGTCTATAGTGCAGGCAAAATTATCACAAGTGGAACACACTATGAACTCTCAAACAGTGATCGGCACTACAAAGAGCACAGTGTTAAATTTAGCTGATGATCTTCACCTTTTCACTAATTCCTGTAGATCGTATGTCGATTCTCTACCTCCGCACATGAAATTTCAATTCAGAGATCTTCTAAATTCCGTTGAGCAAGCGGGAAATAATTTCTGTGTTAATTCTTTGAACATCAGTGGTAAAAAACATGAAAATTCTTTAGCATTATTACGAGAATCGTTAAATAACACAGAAGACGCTTTGAAAAAGTGATTATTCACGCACGAAAATGGTAAAAAATAAATAATTATATTGTTGTTCATAAAATGTATTTTATTAAAATTACTCAATTTTTTACTCTTACTCTTATCAGTTCTATCATTGTAAATACATACATATTTTTTAATTATTCAATCAATTATGCTATAGATGAACGTACTTTGCATGGCTGTTTTAAAATTATTATTATTATTTGTTAATTGTGAATAAAGTATTTAATTTTTGCTAAAACGTCGATCGAATATTTGGCATCATTTTGATTGCTCTAGTCAAAAGAATTTCGACAATAAATTCCTACGTTATGTTATCATAAGCATAGTTTATATATTTGCGTATGTAACATCGTGTTGTGTTGCGGTTGTTGTCATTTTTGCATGTTAATCTGACTGAAATCATCGTGTCGTCTTAACGTTCCATTGTGTTTAATGCATCACATTACATTACATTAATTATATTATCTCATCCGTTCTTGTTTATTTTTGTGAAAAGCTCAATAATGAGAATTAATTTTAGCGAACTTTTAATTTATAATTTGAATTACATTTTTTGTATATTTTTATCATCTTTTTTGTTTATTCTCATAAACTAGAGAGTTGTTTTAAGTATTATATTGTTATGGCTGATCTTACCTAAATTGATATTTTTTCGAGAAAAATGTGTAGTTCTTGAGTACTTACACCAACAATGTCACGTTGTTTTGTTCTTAGTTTTAAGAAATTATTTCCTTAAAATCGGTAAATTATGGTGGATCAGTTAATTAAATCGTGGTGCATGTGTACGTGTCTTCTTTATGTTTGTGTCTGAACTTAGGGCTGGTGTAATGGTTAAAGTCTCTGACGCTGCTGTTGCAGTGACTGGGCTCAAATTCAGAATTTTTTGATGTAAATCCTTTATCGTATAGGTTAGTTGTCGCTATTTTTGACAGCGTCTCGCATCTCATTCGTGTTGGTTTGTCAACCGATGATTCTCTGAAATCCCGTGGAGTGAAAGTCCATGACTTCGACTGGAATATTTTAAAATGTTTGTAAATGTGTTGCATTTACTGAGTACAGTTCAGTGTATATGTTATTTTTAAATTGATTTTACGATGATTATACGTTTATACAATTGACGTGGGCTGGCAAGCAATCGAAAAATTGACGTTAAAAGTTGAGTGCGAAAAATAAATGGGACCGAATATAAATGTATTCCTCCTGACGACGCGTGTATGCTTTTAAAATACCAAAATAAATGTTATAAATTCGAAACCGGTTAGGTCGTTAGGCCTGTTAGATTTCATTTTCATTATGACAAAGAAATCGGCTCATGGAAGTAAAAAACAAACTAATCAAAAAAGTGATTCCTCCAACTCCAACAATCTTTTGAATAATAATGGCGATAAAGGCTCAGATGCCACACTGGCTAGGTCAGTGATCCAAAAAAAAATTAAAGAAAGTAGGAAGAAGCATTCTGAAAAGCACGAATCACCGATTATTTTTCAATATGCAGTGATATTTTTTCTCGGAGTTTTAACCGCATCGATAATTGGAGGTTATTTTTGGTACTTCAAATTTCTAAAAGAAATTGTAATAACTCCTTTCAATGCCCCGAGAATTCTCAATGCAAACTCTTCCTTGCCGATCAACAATTTCGATCGTTTTTGGGGTTCATACAGATCCGGTTTATATTTTGGAATGAAAGCCAGAAGCCCAAGCTCGCCCAATTTTGGTAAATAATTGTTTTTCTGCATTTATATTTTTAGTTTAACTTTAATTTAATTTAATTTAATTTGGATTCAATTAATAAAAATTTTCAATAGTGAAGACAACATGACAATTTGATTATAAAAACGTTTTTTAAATTTGTGCATATTATTTAGTGAATGTTAAATAATTGCTTGCAGGTATCATGTGGATGTCACAATCTGCAAAAAAATTTCCTCCTGATATTCGTCATTGGTGCAATCAAGGAGATGGCTTGCAGGGTTATGGCTGGAAATCTCATGATGGAATCGGCTATGGGAGACATGAAGTTGTAGATAATCAGTTTATTGTTAAAACTGATTTTGTTACAAAACCTGGAGGTGCACATGGGGGAGATTGGACTGCAAACATTAAAATCATTCCAAAAGTAAAATCTTTTTATTTTATATATTATACTCTTTATAAATTTAATACATTTTACTTTTAAACAGAATACTGACTATATAGAAGAAAGTTATCCTGTATCCTTATTTTTTTACATGTCATTAGATCATGATTCTGGACAGTTGGCTGCCAGTACAGTAGGGGATAGATTAGTAGGAATCAGAGGCAGATCAGAAGATTTAGGTTCTTTCCAAGTGTCTCATAAAGTTGAGAAAAAATTTGTAGAAAATATTTTGTTGCAAAATTTTCTTATCACTCGTGTGCCAACAGATGTTGGTGATCTAAAACAAGTAGTTCAAGATAATTTTAAAGTTTTGGAAATAAAAAATACAAATACAAGATTTCTTGCATTGCGAGGTATAAATATGCCAGAGGGTGTTGATGTTTCAAAAGCAAATTTTATTATCAATCAAATAACATCAAAATTGCCATTTGAGATTGACGTATTGTACGAGTCTGGTAGTGTTGCAATTAGGCCAGAAAAATTAACTGGTGATGTTTTCACCAACAGGTTATTGGATGCAGACACCGATTTTGTTGTAAGGTTTGAGACCACATTCAGATTGAGTTTAAAAAATTTTTCACAGTCTGAAATAGAATTTGCTAGATCAACATTTAGTAATTTGTTAGGTGGTATTGGTTACTTTTATGGTTCATCACTTGTGAAATCCAATCACCACCCAGAACCTTTACCATATTGGGAGGCACCCTTGTACACTGCTGTTCCTTCTCGGTCATTCTTTCCTCGAGGATTCCTGTGGGATGAAGGTTTTCATAACTTGCTGATTAGTCAGTGGGATTTTTCAATCTCAGAAGATATAATTAGCCATTGGTTAGATTTAATGAATGTTGAAGGGTGGATACCCAGAGAACAAATACTTGGTCCAGAGGCAAGAGCTCGCGTTCCTGATGAGTTTGTTGTTCAAAATAACGAAAACGCCAATCCTCCAACATTTTTTCTGCCTTTAGAGAAGATTGCCAAAAGAGTTTTATCATTTTCATTGCAGTCCTCTTTCTCACTTAGAAGAGATAAATTATTTCTAGAGCGTATCTTTCCACGACTCACTGCCTGGTATCAGTGGTTTAATAGAACTCAACATTCAGAGAAAACTTATTCTGCCTTTTACTGGAGAGGAAGAAATGCTACAACAGATAAAGAACTCAATCCTAAAACACTAACTTCAGGTTCAATTTTATTTTCATTGTAACAGTTCATTAAGTTTTGCATTATTAGTTTTTTTGCAAAGTACTTTTAATTCAACGAAACACTTAAATCTAAGGTTTAAAATTTTATTTTTTCAGGATTGGATGATTATCCTCGAGCAAGCCATCCATCCGATGATGAGAGGCATTTAGATTTGAGATGTTGGATGGCTTATGCTTCCAAAGTCATGCAGTACATATCTAAGATTCTTGATTATGATGCTTTTGATAAAGAGTTTGGGAGAATGTACAAACTATTATCTGACAATGCATTACTGAATAAACTGCATTGGTCCTCAACTCGTGAAAGGTATAGTGATTATGGTCTGCACACTAATCATGTGGAACTTAAAACAATCCAGCTTGCAAAAACTCTCAAACCTGGTCAGTATCCTCCTCAAAGATCTCAGATACCTGCAGAGAAAATCAGAGTTGTAACATCTGAACCCACGTTAGGTTTTGTCGATTCTGAGTTTGGTTATGTTAGTTTATTTCCATTTCTTTTGAAAATTCTTGAACCATCATCAATTCAACTAAAAAAGATTTTAAATGACCTTCCAAATCCTGATTTGCTGTGGACTAGCTACGGTTTAAGGTCGTTGGCTCGAACAAGTCCCATGTACAAAAAATTCAACACTGAGCATGATGCCCCATATTGGAGGGGGCCCATATGGATTAACATTAATTACCTTGCTGTGTCTGCATTGCATTATTATGCATACGATAACGTTGGGCCATTCAGTTCAATCGCTGTTAATCTGTACCATGATCTCAGAGAAAATTTAATTAGCAACATTCACAAGCAATATCTAAAAACCGGTTACGTATGGGAGCAATATGATGATGTCATAGGCTTGGGTAAGGGCAGTCACCCGTTCACAGGATGGACTTCTCTCATTGTCCTTATCATGGCCGAACAATATTAGACAATTTGTTATTTTATATCAGTAAATTAATTAACTTTAATTTAGCTCTAAGTTATTGTTTTGTTAATAAAATTTTAATGATTTTTAAATTTACAAAGAATTGTCTCATGGCCTTTTATAAGTCCCATATATGTAGAATAAAAATCCTACTTTGAAATTTTATTGAAAAAACCAGAATCGCTGCTACGTTACATGTCTTTGAATTTGCCAGAGCGTTATGTGACCATACATTTTATTATAGTTATGCTTTTATGCAACATTCAATATAAAAAAGCTGAAATTTTTAAAACATTCTCTATAGTTTGTTAGTGTGTACGAAACAATCATAAATAATACTTGCAGGTTTACACTTTATAATATGTTGCGGTTGCGTTAATGTATGAGAACACCAAACCAGGGAGAGCAGTGCGTAGGAGTGAAAAGAATAGTATTCGTTTGGACAGGCTGGACACGTGTTTCGTCCCTACCAGGGACTCATCAGGAGAATAGTATCGCGGTTTTTTCAGTACATAGGTAACCACAATAATCCATTCAGACTGCAGAGCATCTTGGCTTGTTCTAACGAGACTCACAGCTGGTGAAATTTTGCGTTATTTACGAACGCAATAATTAATGAGGTAAAATAATAGATCTACATTCTTAGGTTTGACGCTTTGTACGACGTTGTAGCTTTGATGATGTGCAGATCCTGACTAGGCATTAGCCATTTATGTAGAATTTTATTTTGTTATTCTTTAAAGATGGCGTTAACCTATTTTTAGCTTCTTCTAGATACCGCTGACGTTCTCGATCGAATGAGTAATTTAGTAAATTTTGTTAAAATTATAACTGAATTAGAACAGAACATAATTTTTCCAATTTTTACAAGAAAATGAAAAATAACAAAATAAGCAAAAACGTGTTATCCATCAATTTTATGACTGAAAGTAGCAAGCATGGAGTTCAATATTAAAGCATTTCGCCCCTTTCCAAATATTTTTTTCTCAATATTTTTGCGCGTTTTCTTGCTTTTGAATTTTATTTAATAAATGAAAACTACGTTGAAAAGTTATTTTTAGGCCAAGACCATTTGCAATTGATTTTGATTAAATGTAACAATGATTAACAACTGTTTCTTTGGCATTGATTTTTTTGTCCACAACAGCAAGAATTAGCCTGTCCAGGGCATGTGTATGGGCAAGCGGCAGGTTTCATCTCTGAACAGGTCATTTTGTTACTTTGAGGACAAGGCTTCTGACACGTTTCTTGACCACAACACAGCATTGGATGAGCACCCTGTCTAGCGTTAGAATCAGAACACACCGAGAGAGTGCATTGATTGGGACATCTTCAACAAATGGTTAAAAATAAATGAGTTAATAATAAATAAGTAATAAAATATTTCTATTAACTAGATAGTAGTCTAGATGTCTACTTGAACGATTTTTAAAAAACATATAGTGGTAAAATTAAAAATACAATATAAACTAAATTTTTCATACTTGTTGCTGTTGTTCATTTGCGAGCAAGGTCTCGGAACACAAGGATTGCAGCATGGCGGGGGCGGGCAGCAAGCAGGTCTTAAAACTGGTGGCTGGAAGGATTGAGCACAATTTTGCGGAGGTGGAGCTCTCGGAGGGCAGACCATGGTTGCTCTCATTGGAGGACAGCAGGGTGGAGGACATGATGGAGGGGGAGGCAGGCAAGGGGGAGGGCAGCAAGTAGGTGGACAGCTGTTGAAGTTCATGGTGGCAGTTTTCAGCATTACTGCAAATTAAAATATTTTCTATATATTTTTTAAAATGGCTTATTAGACAGTGGAAAAAATTATAAGTTCAATTACTTCAATTTTTTATTTTATTTTTTGATGTTCAAACGTTCATGTTGGTTTGTTAAAATCGAATGACGTAAAATTAGAAATGATTCAATGCTATATATTACGTTTCGTAAACAAAGATATTTTTTTTTATTTTTGATCCTTGCTCTGGCAACTTAAAACAAAGTTGAAACTTTCAAAAAAATTTTAAATGTTAACAACATCAAACTATCAGATTAATAACTGTTGCTTTGGTTTGTTTTAAATCCAGAGTTATAATTAACTATTTTTATTGTAATAAACTCAATTTTAATAGCATTATAAAACAAGATTATAAAAATGGCTTATTGAAAGAAGCTATCAAGGGTAGTATCACAAAAAATGAACTGGCCTTTTTTAGTTTCTCGTAAGCCAGAAATATAACGAAATTTTCAAATTCTAAAATCCACCATCGATATCATTGGAAATGGTAAACAGATTTTCCGAAATCTTAAACTTTTAATCTTCACACAAACCTATATATATGTACTAAATTGTCTAATGTTGTACAAAATATCTGATGCAGTTTGACAGTAAAGTGTATTTCACAGAAGCTCTCACACATACTACAATCGTTGTAAGAGGCTGAAGTAGTTTTTAGTTCAAATTTTTAAAAATTTATAAAGAAACTGTTTATTTTAGCCTTAACCTGGAGTTTTAACCTCAAAGTAAACTTCTTTTCTTTCCTACACTTTTCTTGTATCAATAAACTCCGACAATCTATGAATTAAAATATTTAAAAATCAATCATTTATTTTATGAACAAAATTGTTTGGACCTCTGAATTCTTCATCGTAACAGGGATGAAATTTAAAAGACGCCAGGCAACAAATTTATTGCCTGGCTCTGAAAGACTGAGCTAAAAAGTTATGCGATTCGACAAAAAAGCACAGAAAGTTTTATTCGTATACTTTACACATAGGTAAGGATCGGTTCGTGCGTCCGTCAGAGTTGCGTAAAAAAAGAACGTAGAAAAAGACCTAATCATCAAATAAAAACATTTTATTTGTAAAACGCAATTTAAAGAATATAAGAAACTTTTTTTTAATTTAACATCTAAAAATCGTGTCACATTCAACGTATGATAATGCACAGCTTCACCATTGTCTGAAGGATAATGCGGGTCCTGCTGTTAATAGGAAAAATTATTGTTACTTTAGATAAAAAGAAATAGAAATAAAAAAGTAAAAATAAAATTTTTAAATAAAAATGTAGTCATTGGGTATAAAACTATAAAGACTTAAAATTCAACAGTAACGACAGATTATAATAACAATGCTTTCTCATTTTAAATCAACCTTCATAGTTCATGATTGTATATTTCATGATTGTCAAAATTTTCCTGTTTGTTAAGCATCGAATCAACAACATTGTTGTCGTTAGGGTTAGGGTAGCCGTGTTAATTTTGCGTTGTTTTTTATTAAAATGAAAACAAAAAAGTAAAAAGGAACAAAAGAAATCCTTTTTCTTAACCAATAACCAACTTACGGAACTAACCAGATTTAATCATGCATCGTTCGTAAACACAAGATCATGTAAATTCTGTTGAGACAATTATATTATATCATATTAATACGATTCTAAAAATTTGATTCGTAAATTTTAGATTATCGCAATTAATATTTAGACATAAATAAAATTTAAAAACTTCGAAGAACAAACTCGAACATTCGTCCTGCCTCCGTTTGACTTTCAATTAATAGTGTTATATACATAGAAAAAATTGTATGGTAAAAAACATGACACAAACATTGAAGGCTGAAAAGAGCCTGTACTTTTTAAAGATATCATGATAATCTATGATACTTTTACTCACGAATATGAGTATACATCATTAAAAACTCTCTCTAAGGAAACATTTTAACATCATAATCAAAATGACATTGATGTTCATTTAAACAAAAATTAACCATGCTCGAATTCAACCCATTGAATCAAAACAAGCACTCGAACGATACAATATTATATTATTATAATATATATTATTTAATGGTTATATTTTATTATTGAATATATTATTTTTTACATACAAATAATTAATGTTAATAATTAAAATTTTAGTTACGTGATATTTGTATGTGGGCAGTTGCATCAGCATGTACTGCAGGAGAGAGTTTTCTTTCAAGTTTCTCCAATCAGCGATCTTTCCATCTTTGTCATAATCTTTGTATATGTATGAAAGCATTTCCTAAATGAAAAAAATTATTTGTTAGAAAATTTGTTATAAAATCAAATCAAATTATAAATCTAACGATCAATAATTAAAAATAGCACATCTTGAAAATACATAAAACGCAGTAGCGTCACTAGGGGGGTGCGGACCGCACCGGGTGACACCCTCACAGGGGGTGACACCAAAATATCACTGTATATGTTTTTATGTCCCTCCATGAAATTATTCTTATCATTAATTCAGCCTAACCCGCCCAGCGCCCAGAAATGTATTATGAATAAAATTTTTTTCGTTCAAATCATTTTTGTATTCGACATTTATACCATTCAAATTCGACGTCCGAATTATTAAGCGCCGCGGCCGAGCACATTTAACTTGTTCGTGTTTATAAATTTTGCTAAGAATGCTGTATGTCTATGGGGTGTCATGAGAGGGGTGACACCATGAGTTACCGCACCGGGTGACACCAACCCTAGTGACGCCACTGATAAAACGCCATATCGAAAGAAATTAACATATGGTCATTTTTTACACAACCAGAATCTGCGAAAACAATTTCAAACTAACGTATAAATTTTCCGATTAATGGATTAGTTAATTGTTATTAATATAAATATTATTACACTTCGTAATGGTTTTAATTTTTCTCACTGCATTCAATGCAAACTTAAGACCAAATGTTTTGAACAAAAAAGAGGAAAACACAATTTAAGAATAAAAATGTAACTTTAGTGAATTTTGTATTTTTGTATGCTTGAATAATTTAAACTATTTAGTTCAGCCCGAACAAAAAGCTGTATTTAAAATGTTTGCCAATGTTTCAGAAATATCGATAGATATGAACCAAACAGTATTAAATCGCCTAAGGAAATAATTATTTACCATGGTGGAACTACTTTTTCCATCACTAAACCTTTCCCGGCTCTCACGAACGCACAGTGGATACATCACCTGACAAATTAGTTTCAAAACTACGTTTAATAACTATTATACCCTTGAATCACAATTTGTCATAAAAATTTTCAAATTAGAAATTTAAATGCCCTATTGACGACTGTGTGCGTCAACAACATTAGTATATTAGTGTTACGACCACTTCACTATCAAGACATCTCACAATGCATACACAAAGAGGAGCCATCAAATCTCACTTGCAATCAACACATGCAACTTTAATAACCCGCTAAATTCATGACAACAACACAAAAATAATTTATCAAAACCAGGCCCGGTTCTTCCATTAGGCAAACTAGGAAGCTGCCTAGAGACGCCGATTTTAGGGGCCGCCAATTTTGCAAAATAACTTAAATATGCATCAAAAAATATTTATGGAAATTTAAAAAAATGGCTACTCTACCCATATATCATATATTGGAAGAGTAGTAAACACCATACATGTAGCTCTGCCTAGGGCCGCTAAATGTCTAAAACCGGGCCTGATCAAAACATTGACACAATACATCTAAAAATATTCGACCTGGTGCAATGTGAGCAAATCAATTTGTGTTGATTCCGTGCTATCTTCTGAGCTGCTCATTTCACAAAAATTTCTATAAATAAATAAATAAATAAAAGATTACTTAACGATAAAAAAAACACAACTTTAATGACGAATAAAAAATTTTCCCTGATGTTAAATATTATAAAATAAAAACAAACTGGGTCCAAAACAATTATAAATAAATATAAATCAGTTCGAAGTTTTCATTATTGTTTCGTAAAATATTTTAATTGAATTTTATGATATAATCTGGCAACACTTTTCCGTTCAACAAAATTTTTGTATTTCAAAAGAAGCATGGGTTTACCTTAAGTTAAATCATTGTACGAAACTATTTTAAAATTTCTCGACGTAGAATTTATTAAAATAAAATTTTAAGTACACAAGATATAGAAATGTTGTGGTAATTTATTTAGTATACATTTTCAGCTTTGTTGATAACCGATTAAAATAAAAAAAGGTACTTTTCAGCACTTTCAGACATATCCTTTCCCATGGCAACGCTCAGCGCTTTGATGAAACCTTGTAATTTGTAAAACTCAACTGAAACATATTTACAAAAAATTGAAATATAATGTCTAAACCTTTGTAAGGATCTTCGTCCAAACAGAAATACAACAACTGTAAAAAAAATCGTTTAACGCATTTAGTGCATTTAATAAAAAAAACTTAAATGAACTAATTTACGAATTGAACGTATCCAATGCAGTTCATTCCACTCGACCTATCGGCATACAAGTTGAAGTAGAAGGATAGCATCTCATCTATTTGGTCAACTTTTGCATCAACATCTGCAGTTGCCTTCTTTAACCAGAGCTCTGCCTGATACAAATTATCTTCATGATGGTGTTTTTTATACTTTATTTTGAAAAATGAGAATTTTTCAGCCAAGATCAAAAATAAAATGTTAAAGTTTCATGAGAGAAATTCTATTTCTAGTTGGACGGTTTTTAGCGTTATGTGTTTTTATTATTTAAGCAACCGAAACCAAGAAACAAGTTTTATATTAATTATTAACGTTAAAACATGCAATTCAAATATGAAATAAAACTCCACCTTAAATTACAGTATTTTTTTAAACAAAAATTAAATTACTATTTAGCTCTTACAAAAAAAACTATATAAAATCCCTGCCTAAATTGTCAGACGTTAAATTTTCATAAAAACTATTTTCAAAAGTCTAGGGCTAGGGATTATGTCGAAAAATGAAAAACCTTGAGAAGTTGTTCCTTGGAAAGAAATCCAGTTTGCAATTGATCGAGTTTGCAAAAATGAGAGAGTGCTTCAAGCAGTTTAGAAAGCGACGGTAAAGGCCAGGGTTGGGACAGAAGCAGCACAAACTTCTTCCAACTCAAATACTCTCCATCAAACATCATCAGGGAGGATATGTACGGTAGCTGTACATTTTGTTCAATATCAGAAAATAAGACACCAATAAAACAACGTAAAAAAAAATCTGTAAATTATAAAAAATATTTGTGCAATACAGATAATTAAAAAGTGAAACAATTATAATGGCGAGTAACTTATTCGCATTAATATAATTGTTGCTATCTTTCCTTAACATGTTAACATGATTCTAATTATGTCGTTGCAGAGTCCAGTTTTTATATTATCAATCTTTTATTGTATTAAAACATATGGGTAAAATAATATGTGATGTTGAAAAAGTTTGAGCTAACATATTTGAAGAGATTTCTCATCCAACCTATCGGGAAGTACTCAATGTAATCCTCACATTGCAACAAACTGGTGATCGTTTTCATGAAGAGGTGAGGAGTAATTGTCCCTAATGGAGCTATTTTCTCAAGCTAAACAATTTTTTAAGTTAGTAATTTTTTAACAAAAAATTGTTAGACATTACCTGGTAGGATATATTTTGAAGCTGGCAGACGGTAAAACTTGAAAATTTCAAATCTAAAAAGTCTTCCTGCATTTCATTTGAGGCGTGGTTTGAAGGGAAAATTGACATCTGTTGGAAATATCATTTTGGCACTAATTAACTTACAAATAAATATGTACATCAACTTTCTGTTTTTCATAATAGTTGCCTTAACAATAACACATATATCTTAAAAAATTTTCTAACATGCACAAGATTAGTTTGAAGACTTTCAGACTCATAAATTCGATAAAAGTTTGAAATTTTAAAGATGTTATCGCAATATTATTCTTAATAGTTATATGTAAATGTCAAATGAATATTAAATGGCTTACTTCATTCAAAAAAATGTTAGATTCCTGTAGTAAAATTTCATTTTTCAGAGGGACGAAATGTTCAATGCTGTCTTTGATTATTTCATCGAGAAGTTTTACTCTTTTCAAATATTAATTATTAAATTGAACGAAATTTTCTGAATTCATAAGATTTTGCGTATTTGATAACAAAAATTATGGGGTAGGAATAAAAAAAATTTCTTCCCGACAGACACCAAGACGTAACAAAGTTGCAAACTTCGTCATTCCTTCCAAATATATTTGCTGTAACCAGTCATTCATTGACTGGAAAGTGAAATCTTTGTACGAAATGATCATGTTTATAAATTTAGCTCCGACTTCGTATATCAGCTGAATTCTTCTTTTTGTGTTTTCCACTGGTTTTAAAACGTTATTTTTCTATGAATATTGATATTTTTCGAATAGATAAAACAAAAATTATTAATTAATCATTAAACGATTTTCTTTAACTCTTTAGAAAAACATTGAGCCGATAGTATCCGCCTTTTGTAGATTTCTAAAATCATTTTCTATCTTTTGCCAATTTTAATGAATTCAATATTTCAATCCTAGACCATTCTGCAACGTCATCCACACAATTCTCGGCAAATCAACTTTTCCTTTCATTTCCTCATTCTCATTAATACAGATTCAATTAGCATGTCTCCAACCTTATGCGAATATTTTCAAATAGTCCCGGGTTTTTTCTTTAAATTATTAGCACATATTTTTTCGTTTTTCAAGTTAGTTTCATTTCGTTTCTCAACATTTGTCTCTAGCTGATTGCCAACAATTTTTTTTCGTTGTCCAAGTTTCGTATGCATAGAGCAGTGTAGAGATAGAGAACACACAGGTTTCTGTTATCTTAAGCTTTATTTTTACAGATATGTTAGCACCTTCCCACATTTTTTAAACAATGCAAATATTTTTACTATCTATTAATTTTTAAATTTTCTATTTCTTAATATTAGTTATTTGAATTGAATGTAGTTAATTTGCAAATAGACTTAAGCAGCAATATAAGGTAGAGCATAACATTGTTAATTTATACTTATGCTTATATTATAATTCCATTCAACTCATGAAGTACCTTCTTCTTTCAGACCAAATGTAAGTTCCTGGGAAGCAATATTTCGGTTAAGTTTATATTTGATATCTTCGGCTGAAAGCAAGTCATTTGACTCTGAAATGTTAATATTATTAAAATCATTCCCTTTAACCTATAACAGTTGAGACCTATAACAAAAATTATGTGGAAGTTAATAACAATTTGCCTCGCTAGAAAATAAAACTCAAAATTTAATGAATCAAAATTTAAATAACGCAGAAAAAAGATATTGAGAATTATAAGAAAGAAATCAGACCAGAGTGCTTTTAAAACGATGGCGATAAAAAAAACGTGTTATAACTTGAAGCAATAAAATAATAAACAGACACCGGCACGTTTTGCAAGCAGCAGTTTTTGTTTGGTAGAATTCTTTTCAGCTACATTGCCATGCTTCGATTTGATGTTATCTTTAACGTCATCATTTTCAAACCCAGCTGGGGCCTTCAAAAAATTACATCGGCAAAGGATATTTATTAAAAAAATATAGGTACTGCAAATTTTGATTAGTAAATATTTTTCTTTGTAGAGTATCTTTTACAGTTATTCATCTAACTCAAATGAAACTGAATAGAACAAAAAAAAACTTTAAAAAACGTCTTTCGACATTTAGCATTTCATGAATAAAAACCTGTTTGCTTATTTAACTCATATTAAAACTTGTTGCCAAAGGGTAGATGACAAGATAAACTTTTGCGCCGTGCCAGGTGCATGAAAAATATAACTTTAGTAGCAACCTTAGTTACTTCAAATTAGAGTAGATTTAAATTGGATTACAAAAAACGATTTCAATTAGTAAAAACCTATTTAACTTAGTTTATAAAAAAATGCTGCGGTCAAATTAAATATCCTGGAAGCAGTTCAATTTTCATAAGCGCTGTGTTTTATATTTGCGATTTCCCATTTTAGACTTTTTTTGCTCAAAAATCAAAATTCAAACAAAATGTCTCAATGTGCATTTTTGTAATATTTCTTTCTAATCAGAGTTAGACAATTAAATACTAATTGATTATAAAAATTAACATACTATATTTTCTATGATAGAAAAAGACGTTGACGCGACGTTGGCGAGAAACCTACAGCAATCATCAGAGATGAAAATATCGTCAAACTTTTGCGGTGTGGCTTGATTCTTTTTTCTAAAAATAACATAAAAACTAGAATTTGATTCTGTGAAATATTTAAAACACATCAGATAATTGCAAAATATGATTTGTTAAGTTAAATAAAACTCAGAAAAATGCAAAGAAAAAACAGAACTGAAAAGGTAAATGCAACATTTGAATAACACAAACTTCTTCTCCTCTGCACTATCGGATTTTATTTTCCTGTCCAGCTGTTGTGGGGATGTAGCTTCTTGAGATGTCTCTGATGACGAACTGTTCTGTTGGATTTTTTGTTGGATTTTTGTGGAGAAAAAATGAAATTGCAGTTCAATTGAAAATTTTCAAACATTTTTAAAAGTAAAACATTACTGATAGTTTATCTTCTATGAGGAGTAAATTAGTAAATTGAATATAGATTACATATGTACAATACGGTGAAAGTAAAACAATATTAACACACTATTTGTATATATAGATCTGCTCAAATCCAAAATATATTAGCGAGTTAGTGTTATATAAACTTATAAACTCTGAAAGACAAATCATATCATCAGCTATTTGTACGAATATGAAATTATTAAAACGTAGTTACAAGTTTGAGATAGCTGATGTTCAATTCGTCCAGCAGTTTTTCATCGTGTGTGGTGTAAACATCTTTCAGGATCAACACGACACTTTGCAATTTGTTCATTTCCGTTTCAATTAGTTCAGCAAAATGATTATTCATTAATTTAACATAATCATCCAACTGCTTCTCTTCCAGATATTTTTGTTTTTCGATTTCATTTTCTTTATTCATTTCATCAAGCGTGCTCCACAAAATTTCTTTCAGATCATCTGATCTTTGATGTAACTCCGCAATAAGATCGACGTCCGATCGTAAAAGGTTAGGAATGGCGTTGAATTTCTAAATTTTTTTTACAATTTTAATAAAGCAATTATTTATCAACAACTCAACATCATTTTTTCAAAGTTAAACAATAAAACTTAAGAAAAACTCATTTATTATCAATCAGTCTGGCAGATAATTTGCCAACGTTAAAATAAGACAAAAATGTTTTGATGACTGGAAAACAAGAAAGTCGCGTAAAATCTGCCAGATTCATCATCTTCACAAGTTCACTTGGAAAAAATTTTTTGGGAAAAGAAAAACTTTTAGCTGAATGGTTTCGTAAATGATCAATTTAAATAAATTGCTTAAAACAAAAAGTTATTTGCAATGGTACCTACCTTCAAAAAACAGTTAAGATGGAACATCATGTTGTTAGGCCGATTCAAATAAGCCCGGAAATTCAACCTGCTTGTAAGATGTTTTAAAACCATGAAGGTACTTTTGAATCCTTCTAATCATCATGAAGAAAAATAAAAATCGTCCGTATAATACTAAGTTTTATTAAGTACAGGTGATTTATACTTTGCCTTATTTGATGTAGATACGAAACAATATCCTTATATCCTCTCCTCAGCCAGTACAAAGACGATTTGCAGCCTTCAACGTACATTTGCTCCATAGAGATCCACATATCGTACATTGAACAGGCAAACTCCTGGATATAATTTAAAGAATATAATGCATTGAAGGACCGATTAACTCAAGTTACGTCGTTTAAATTATTCAAAGTGTTGACTTCCTACGTGCTGATGTTCAGATTTTATATGCAGAATAAAATAGGATTTCACCGTTCATCGTCGAGTTTGTTTTCGCATAATTGTTTCATTAAGTCATAATTTTCGTCCACACAAACTTACGAACACAAACATTACGCACCAGAACATAAGCGCATAAGTACCAGTGAAAAATTTTCATGAGTTTAAACGTAACCGACACGCGTGAAGGAGAAGGAAGTGAGGGGCCACGATGGTGAGGATGGAAGAACATTTTGAAGTTCCTTCGGTAACAACGAAACAACCGCAGATGGCACATCTTGTTTTTTTCCTTTTGCTTCATTTTTTAACGCTATATCGCCTACATCAGATAAAAAGTCAAAATAAAACATTGCAAATAGCAAATATAATAAATAATAAAATAAAAAAAGTAATAAATATAACGACAAAATGTTGTGCATAATTCATCTGCATCACACCTGGCATCTGGCATCCCTCGCAGAATTAAACTTTTCTAATTAGGTTAATAAGTCATTTTAAACAAGACAAAAAAATAATTTAATCAAGATAAAAATAAACTATGCAATTTGAAACGTGATTAAACAAATTTTTGATAACTCAACAAATTATTAAAGAACCGGTAAATACTTTTGCGTTTGGCCTTCTTAAAAGGCTCGGCCTGATTAGAAGATACTTCGCCTAAAATGGAGAAAAAACTATTTGACCAACACGTCAGATCACAAGCAGCTACAGCTTTCATTTCAAATTATGCAACATAATAATGCCATATTATTTAGAAACAATTATGAAATTTATTAGTAACAAAATAATTATGTTACGTGAAAATATGAAACAACTTACTTTCTTGTTCAATTTTTTCCTGTGATGAAAAATTGGCAATAGTAATAAATAACTGTCTATAAGAAATGTTAGTTGAAAACAAAAAATTTGTAAGAAATTTACGATTAAATAAAAATCAAGTTAAAGCAATTTTTGTGCCAATTAATATTTGCTACTTCTTTCTTATATAACTTTCAAAGCTCAGTATCTCCTTTGTCTATCAAATCCCCACTGCGAGTCAATGACCATTAATTATTAATGATGATTAATATATTGTTCATAATAATAATGAAATATGGAAATTAATGTAAATTTGTTGTATATACAAGTGAATTAAAAAAATCAAATACAATTCAGTTTGAATCCTAATTAATTTAGAAAGCCGAAATATCGAAATCGAAAACAATAATTGCGTTGTTAGAAAATAATATAATGTGGTGTAAGAGAAGTAGAAGTATCTGTTTATAATATTTATAATAAATATTTTTGATTTTAAAAGTTGAGAGAAAACATCGAAGTGTGTTCAAAAACCTGAGGTTTAGACTCTTCAACAATCTCTTTATTAATGGTGTCTTTTATTTCGTTATAAGCCAGCGTGGTCTATTGAATGAGCATGGAAATATTGAAGTATTGATAAAAAATAAAACTTCCGATATGAACATTGAACATTATTCACATTTGTTAATTCTAAAAGTCCTGCTGGAATGATAATAGAAATCGTATTTACAGTGTTAAGCAAACTGCAGATCATTTAATCACGGTGAAGTCCCTAAGTATCAATGGCGCAAGATGTCTGCAAGCTAACGAAAAAAGGCGTCAGTAATGGTAAAATTTTGGTTAACCCACATTTTCAAAACGCAACCTTTTGGTGATCATAGTTTGTAAATATTAGGTGATAGTGTTTCCATTACACAAAAATGCAACCAAGCCATAATTCAGCGTTAAATTGACAACTAGCATAAACAAATTTTGCTTGCTAGAGTTCTCTATGCAACGAAATCAGAGTTTTTGTAAAACTCTTCTCGGTTTCTTTGTAATTTCATGGTAGAGTTTGAATTGTCGGTCTAATACATTTTGATTTGTTCTAATTTGAAGATCAGGATTGTTTCGAACATTTAAAACAGCAGTCTGGGACAATTCCTCATATTATCTTGGTTTATCATAATAGCTGGCGTGATTCCTGTGGAAGTACAATGAACGATCCCAAAAAATTATTTTTGGGCTTTTATCTCAATACATCTTTCTAACACGATGATGTAAGAATAGTTTTTAATTTACAAAAATTAAAGTTAAAACAAGATGACCTACTTGAAGCGCCAGGTCAGAAATTAAAGAAACTGAATAGTGAAGGATTTCATCGTAATTATCACAACCTCCATCAATTTCCAGCAACTTGCCGTACGCTTTCATCCAGTCTCGCATACATTTAAACTCTATATTGAACTTCTCTATCCTGAAAAACAGCAAATATAACACACAGATTTCTTTTGTTTACTTTTTGCTATATGATAATTATTTCTTATTGAAAACCAATTTTTTGTTATTGTTATCATACGAAAATTTTAACTGAAAAGTTTTCCAAAAATCATTTTGTCATTAAGCTTGCAATATAATTTTCTCTATTAGTGCCAGACGTTCAAGATGAAATATACCTACACAAATGAGGCCAAAAGTGACTAGTCTAGATTTAAAAAAAAAGAACTTGTTTCTATTTTTTTTTTAGAAATTTTTCAATATGGTTATAATTAATTTATATTATTTTAAAAAAGTTATAGGTAAAAAATTGAATGGTTTTTAGTAAAATAATTGTTGTAAAAAAACAACCGTAGACTTAAATGAGTCAATGGAGTTAAGTGTTGAAAATAAATAAATAAAACCGACACATGTTGAAGCAATGCATCATTTTCGTCAGTGCAAGCAGACGATTTACTGAGGTCCGTGTTATCTTGTGAACGGTCACCTAAAACAATTTATGCCATGATACATTATCAAAAAGTAAATGAAAATAATCATTTAAAAAAATCACAAACTGTGTTGTTCCTGATCATCAGAAACAATTTGTGCATTGTTATTAACTTCAGTGCTTTCAGAAGATTCAAGTTCAGTTTGTTCTTCTTCAGTTTCAACGCTAACTTTAAGTTTTTTTTCTAGCGTTCTTTTTAATGAAAGTTCATCACTGATGCAAAGGGCTACCATTACATCAAATCCGCACTTGTGTGAAACTTTGTTAACATCTGCTCCATCTGTGAGGAGCAAAGAACTGAACGAATTTGATTTGTTGTCGAAATTTTCCCCAGTCAAGGCCTCATCGAACAATATCAACTGTGCGAACGTGCAAGGGAAGCCATCCACCACCCAGCCCATGTTCTCTGGAACGCTCCTGTTAAGTCATGCAAGTCAAACGCAATTAATCGCATGCATCGAGACATGAAATTTAAATATCCCCAACATTTCACCAAGAATTAAAAAAACCATGAGAAAAACTACTGTAAACAGAAAAATTAAATGAAAGACGTTAACGAAAAGAAAGAGTATAAAAAAAGAAAGATTGAATGAAAAAGCATTATTATCTTTCATGCGCAGATAAATTCAAAATTAGGGTAAGCATACAATAAGATTTGGTAAATTTTTGTAAAAAAAAAAAAAAATTCAGATCACAGTTTTCGGTTGCAACGACGCTGAAAATTTTATCGTTTTATAAAAATCATTTATGCATGCTACCTCTGATTTACTGAGAAAATAAATTAATGACACAAATAAATCGTGAATGGTTAACGAAACTTATGGCATGTAAAAGAATTTTGATGATGATCTCGTCATCAACCACCCCTCCATAATCAATGCAGTATTTCGCGAGTTTTCCTAACTCTGCTCTTTCAGTTAACTGAAATTAAGTTGATCAAAAAAATATAAGTTGATCAACAAGATTTTGTTGATAAAAAATTTGTTAATAATTTATAGTACATAAATGTCAAACGTTTTCGCATGAATTTCTAAAAGTTAGGCACCGTTACCGTAGACACGTAATTTATAAATTAACATTAAATATTATAAACATTACAAATTTCGTGCGTTGTATAGACAAAAACCCACGCAAACTGAAAAATAAATAACTGAAAAATGTCAGTTTTAAAAACTGAAAAATAAATAACTGAAAAATGTCAGTTTTAAATGCTTTTAATATTTAAATATTTAAATATTAATGCATTTGAAAAAACTGAAAAATTTTTCGCAAAGACTTCAAGTTTGTTTTTTACTTTCGTTTTTTGTTTTGAAATATGAAAAACAACCTTTTCTTCAACATGCATGCCGAGACCATCATTTACATCTTCTTCAACGGTATTTTCATCGAATTCGCCTGTTAAGCCTGTTTTTTAAAACAGAATAAAAAAAACTATTAAATCAAGATAAAAATTTTTGGCATATTTTAAAACCATTCGAGTGAATAGAAAAATCGAACGTAACCAAAACTAAAAGTTTTTTTGAAGTTTCAAATAAACAATAAGTAACCAGTCTCGACATTCAAATTGGTTTCGACGCTTGTTTTAACCTGCAATGTGTTTTAGGTTCTAGCGTTAAGTCGTGAATGACAAAACATTTTTGTAATTTTAAAAGTATTGAGCAGTTTAAAAGCCTCTCCTCTCTCCATTTCTCCTTCTTTAGCCTCCGCCCCTCTGTTCCTCTCTCCTTTTATCTTTCTCTATCCTCTTCTGCCCCTCTGTTCCTCTCTCCCTTTCTCCGTCTTCCACCAGCTTTTCTTTTTCTATATCTTTCTCTTTCTCTCTCTGCCACTTTCTTTCTCAGCTTTTTTTCTTTCTCCATCCCTTTCTTTTCAGTCTTTCTCTTTTTCCCTCCTCTCACTCGGCTTCTCTTCCACTTTTCTCTGCCATCATCATCATCAAAATCTGATAACAACGATAAAGGAAATGTTGATTAGATAGAATAAGTTATGCGGAATAAAATATTTTGAGAAATGGTTCCCAACTTCTTGATTTTGAAGACTTTCTCTCCGAGGATCGATGTTGTTATCGGTGGGAAGACATTCAAAGAGCATCGTTTCATTGTTCTGAAAAGCTTGGATGGCATCGTATACGCACTGGTCTACCGATATAATCATTAAGCTGAATGCTGGTCGTTACATCGGAAACAGAGTTTATAAATAATTTCAATTTGAACGCTTTTACAAAAACATGTTAATTTAAAAAATTTTTTATAAAATTTAATTAAATTTATTCGTAAAAAAAAACAATGTACTTCCTCTACCGTAGTCAAAAAACACATAATTTTCATAAATATGCCATAAATTCACGATCATAATGGTGCAAGAAACAGAACGCTACCATGAAGAAATAGAATAATAGATAATGGGAGCCAGAAAAAATAACATGGATTGGTGTAAAAAGAACAAAGACAAATATCAGCGTTTAATGTTCAGAAATCGAAATAAGGAATTCAGTAATGGATTGTTGGTGTCTTCAGAACATGATCAGATCAGAACTGCCATTGCCAACAAAAATATTGAACATTATTTTAAAATTCTATATCACAATGATTAACAGCCTTTTATTAGAGTTCTGTGAGTTATGAAGGTTTCAAATATAATACCTGCGGCCAAAGCAATGCAGACAGCACTTTTGTAAGATGACGGTTTGCCAATGACGCAAATCTTTAGGCTATGGTGGGGAAAGTTTGGCGGAGGAGCGGCCTACAAATTTATTTTTCATAATTGCAAAAAAATATACATCACAAAACAAATTAAAAGTTTATTAAATTTTTTTTTACTAATCGAAACGTGATTAAACAGATCAATGACATCTTCACATTCTATAATAAATGATTCTTTTAATTGCTTAAATGCTTAAATTCAAATAAAAATTATAAAAATTTCTTTTAAAAATTAATTATTTGGTTCAATTCAGTCTGCATACATAAGTTAACATAATAAAATAATAAAGTGATAGTTATTAATAATAAATTAGCAAAACAAACGATGCCATGTTCGTAATAAAAGAGAAAAATATTGTTAAATATGTTTCAGTCGATCAAATAATCTTAATAAAAAGAGATTTAATAAATGAAGTCACAGAAAAAATGGTTTAACCAATATTTCCAACCTGTTTTAGGCGTGAAAAATTGTGGACATTGCTCATAACATGCCAAAGAACTGGGTTGTTTTTCGTGATTACGATTTTGACATTTTCAGTAGGACTCCACATATTTGACATTTTCTTCATAGAAAAAGTAAAAAGTAATTTTTAAAAAATAAGCGCTGAATGAGAACTGATTTTCTAACCAAATAGCTTTGGAAATCAAGAGTTGTGTAAAAATTATTTAGGTCAATATTGGAGCTGTGAGCATTTGTGTCCGTTCCAATCAGCTCATTGAAAGGCTGACTTTTCATGAACATCATGTGACTATCCATGATTATGTCGTCAGGAACTTTTCTTAAGTGATGTTCATAATTATTTTTTACAACTATTTAATCATTGTCATGCTCCTTTAAAAAATAAACGCGTGCTTAATAAGAACATCATTGCAATAAATGAAAAAGATGAGCACGGTATAATGTGCCAAACATTATTGCCTAACTGTAATCACTATTCATCAATCGAACTTTTTCGTAACAAATCAACAAAATTTTGTAAAAAAGGCATAAGGTGGATTGCAGATAACCCTAAATTGATATGTAATGTGACGGTCCGTATGCACTTAGTATCCAAAATTTTAGCTAATCGTCCGAACTACGTTTGATGAGGGTATCTAGTTATTTTAAATTATGTTGCAATATTTTCACTGGCTTACTAAACTAGGCAATCAATACCAGCAATGAGTTGCAATCTATTCCAAACTGAGTAGCTCATTTGGTTTTGAGAAAAAAGAAAACCAGGAAACTCATTTTAAAAAAATTAACCCTGAGAAATTAAACTCTTAAAATGTATAATTTGAACTAAAAATTCATTAGAAATTAAACTAAACTGTTTATCTTTGCCAAAAATAGTAAAAATGAAATAAATTATAAAAATCATTGATAAACCAATAACAGTAAAATTTTTGCCGCGTTAATCTTATAAAGATCAGTGACAAATTTTTTAAACATATGCATTGTCTTTACTCTTTAGCTCAAGTCGCAGTACTGTAAATATGCATAATTTTTCGCAGTAATTAAAATTCAGAAAATAATTGTGTACAAATGCCTAAGCTAAATTGTGTCCTAGTTGATTTTACGAAGCTGTACAACACTGTTAAAAAGAAACTTTTACTTTCATCCTGTCAGAGATTAACTGCTCATATAAGTTTGAAAGAGTTATAAAATCTCTTGAACGTAAAAAATGAAATCATCAAACGAACAATTAATTCGTCAATGTAGAAGAGCTTCAAAGAACAAAATCAATAATCATCAAAAATCCCCGCAAACTTAAAACACGTTGGAAGCATTAAATTAATCACTTATTGTTATTAAAACAAAAAAAAATAGCCGATGAAAGTCTAAAACTGATGAATAACGTAACACTAACTGGTTGTGAAGTTCTTTAAGCATGGAAGCATTAAGTTAATCACTTATTGTTATTAAAACAAAAAAAAATAGCCGATGAAAGTCTAAAACTGATGAATAACGTAACACTAACTGGTTGTGAAGTTCTTTAAGCATGGAAAATAGAGCAGACATGTCTATAATATCACGCACAATTTTGTGGCAAACGTAATAATGTTTGCTGTACTTGGCCAAATATTTTTCATTCACTTCTTCTGAGTGAACTTGTTTAATCTTTTCAACTGAAGATTCAACTTTGAATTTCATCGAATTACTTATAACCTGCAAAGTGTTTGAAACTTTTGTCGAAATGAGAAACTTTATATAATATATTGTGCAAATGTACTGAAAACGAACCAGTGATGTTCAACCAAACAAATTATGTCATCATTCAAATGATAAATCCAAAAAAACTTAATATACTTTTTCTAAAAGCATACGTTGAGCGATGTTTTGTTGATTTTGTTCCTTGTGAAGTTTTGCTTGATGCTTGCTGTTCAATTCAATCAACTCCTTCTCATGTCGTCTCTGCAGCAGCTGGTTCGATATGCATCTTTCACTGATCGATTCTCTCATCAACGCTTCTATATATTTTTTTCCTTTCTGTCTCATCTAGTGAGGGTCAATTTAAAAATGTTAACAAGAGATTTCCACCATTATACTGAAAAAGGTATGTACAGTTGTAATGGCCAAGTGGGCAGGATGGTGGCCTAGCGGTTATAGTCGCTTGGTGCTGTTTTAAAGGGCGTGCAGTGACCGGTTTGAATATGATAAAAAGATTCCCGTCTATCACATGCCTCATGTGTGATGCGTCGATTTGCATGTATTTATATACACAGTTTGTGTGTAGTTTTATTGAACCTAGAAAGAGTATAATAGACCTTTAACCTGAACTAATTTATTTATATAAATTTGAACCTACTTCAACTTCCTGGTGCATACTCCAATGACAATTCAGAATCTGTTTTCTCCTTTTATTTCGTTGACATCTTGAACTTTGATTGATCTCAACATAATTTTTTAAATTTTTCAAATGACAACTGTCTTCTTTACAAAAACCACTTTTCAAACCAATTCTGAAATTTTATTAAAACAAATCAACATAAGAGTCTTAAATGAGTCTTGATAATACCATTGCCAATTTGTAATATACCGTGAATGTGTCTATAAACATATACGTATACGTATATGATACATCAAGATATGCAACAGTGAAGATGTTCTACAATTCTATTGTATGTACACTGAATGAAACCCACAAATAAACAAAGTGTACAAAAAGGTGTTTTTGGTCGCCTCTACTACATTAAGGTGGAAAAGATTAAACAAATTTTGAACTTCAATTGATAACAATTTGATAATGTTTTGAAGACAAAGCTGTACAAAATTTGTAAAACAACAACGTTTTATTATAGTAGTAGGCCTTTCCTAGGGAAGTAGCTCTCTAACTAACTAAACAATTAAAATGAGAACAAGGCAGAGGTTTATTATATTTTATATATAAATCTAATTCATCATAATTTTTTGAAAATGTATCCTAGATAATATTGAAATTGTTTTTACTTCATCTGATGATTCTCCCCTACCATATCCATCCTATTTTTATTTCACACAAAACGCGAAAAGGGAAACTTGGTTGTTATGGTTACAAAAAAAATTTAAATAAGCAAAGAATTAAAATTAAAAAATTAAAATTATTACCAAAGAAATTTCTCTTAATTTTTGAACTTCTCTCTGAAATAAGATTAAGAAATTTAGAATTTATTAAATTTTCAATTGAAAAATAACTAATTGATAAAAATAAACAGGCAAACAATTAATAATCTACGTAATATTTATGTTTGGACTAATTGATCAATTCCATCAATCGGTCGGGCTATTTGTCATGCTTGGATTGTTGGCTTACGAAATTGCAGGGATTCCTATTTTAAAAGCTTTCCTTGATGCTTTTTAATCAGTCAGGTCTCAAAAATCATTATCGATATCGCGATGAAATCAAATTGAAAATTTTTTAAAAATTATTGATAAAAGTAACTAATAGTAAAAAGTTTACATTTTTCTGAGAGAATTCAAAATAGTTTGACACAATTGTACAATTTGAAATGAGTAAATACAACATTATAAACGTATTATAACAACGTATATATAGGGGCTATCTATCTATTTCTTTATTTAGTTCTGCCTGCGTATGATATTGGGTCAAATTTATTTGATAAGAATTGAATATAATCTTTATACCGGTTGATTAACTACCATGCAGTAAAATAACTACTGTTAACATGACGTCATTTCTTCCAACGATTACGTAACAAATTACCCAGCCATCCTATTTAGTAAATATTATTTGACACTTTTTAATTTTTTAATTAGTCAGGTCACAATCATCATTATCGATATCGCAATGAAATCAAATTGAGAATTTTTTAAATTTTTGAAAAAAGTATTTTTACTCATTTTATGATACTACTTTGTTCAATGAGATACTGTTTGATACTGTTTGTTTTATTCTAATTGTATGGATACGTATAACTAGAATCTAATATCCAATCTTTAATACAAAAAATAAATTTGGGCTACCATAATTGTTTGTCATCCAATTCACATTTCACATTCAATCAGTACAGGTAAGCAAGGTGTGTGAATAATTATGTAATATAAATAAGAAACAGGACATAATTCGTTTATTTTTTAGTTTTTTTTTAAATCATACTTAACTGACGATGATGGGGACAAATAAAAATATAATTGCGTCTACCAAGGCAATAAATCAATGCATTTTTTTATTAAAAAAATTTTTGATGAATTTTTTATAATTTTTGTGTAAATTATGTTGTCAATCTAATAATTCTTGGCTGCTGATGCCATTTGAATTTGACTGAGCTTTAAGCACTTATTAATGACTCAAAATAACATTATATTATTACTATTTCAAACGTCAAATATTTGCATTTTACAGTTGTGAAATAATTTTTGTTGAGGAAAAAGAAAATGATGCAAACCTTTTCTTTTATTGACTCTTCCTACCTACTGAAATCAACTAATTGTATAAACGCTGCTACAATCAACAAATAAGTGAGATTTACTTATTTATGTTCAAATTCAATAAAAAGTTATTTCATTTGATAGCACATATTGTGCTTTGATTTAAACTATAAACATTGTTTTTGATATTAAGACTCACCAAAATTTTTTAATACAATGCAATATACACGAATGTTCGCACAGTTGTTATACATAAGTGCACAAAACATATTGCTATGTGTATCGGCAATATATTGACAATAAATTTATTTGAATAAGACATTTCAGAATATTATTTTGTAATCATTTCAAAATTTTATTTCTTATTGTCGATTTCATTTCTGTAGTTTAGTTTTTAATTGAACAAATGTGTATATAAAAGATATACAATTTATTAAAGCAAAAATAATTTTTCAATTGCTTTGTAAATTTAACCCAGTGAACACCAAATATTAACGAAATAAACTTGAGAAATGGAAAAATTAATTAAATCTTCTTACATTTTAACCATGTTTATTCAGGCAAAGTTTGTATATTTAAATTTTAAAAGTAGGACTAATATGAAATCTTTGAAATCTTAATAGATGAAGATCAGCTTTTCATTTAGAAAAGAATTTGGACAGTAGAAAAAACATTTTCATTAAACTAAATATCAAGAAATTTAGAAAGTACAAAAGTGCAATGTAAATAAAAAATTTTTTTTTGAGAGTAGTGAGTGAAATTTACAGTACAGGTGGCAAGGAGATTAATTTTGCACCTTGTTTGTCACTAAAACGTTGTCTGTATTTTGTTAATCAATGATTAATTAACGGTTAATGAATTATGGATAGGTAAATCAATTTGGCTTCTGCTTCTTTAACGTCAATTACAATCAGCGCAGTTGCACAGCATATATTGTAAGAGGTTTATTTTATCTTTTTGTAATGTTTCCTTTATTCCTGAGGACACCAGTGTTTGATTATTTTTAAGCATGTTGTTGTTTATGGTTAATTAAGTAGATTTATCTTGCACTGTGGAATGATTTTGTTTAACAGAGCAATCAAACTTTCAGATTTTCAGATCGACGTCATATTTTATTCATGGCGAAATCAAAGAAATATCACAAAATCCTATGTCTGAGCTCACTTTTCGTGTGCATCGTTGCACTTGTTCTACATGTCGTCGCGTTTAGTACATCTCATTGGATAGTTTCCGATGGCGATAGTCCTTTTCAAAAGTTTGTATGTTTCTAATATTTCGGTCCTACTTACACTGCGTTTTCTGAAAAATGCAACATTCACTTGAAAAAACATTAGTTTAATTAAAATATCTTTATGTAGTTTTTACAAAATTACTTTTACAAAGTAAAAGTGGCGAACCTTATTTTTTTTCAAATACCGATATTTAATTTTTTCTCTCAAGGAATGATAGAAGCGTAAACGTAAATACTTTAAGAAATATAATTTTACTTGAAACCAAATATTTGTAATATATTTAATGAAATTTAAAATGATATAAAATATTTGGTCAGCATGGGATTTCACGAAGCCTGTTTCAGCAACTGTCACTTCCCTTACTGTCCAGGCGATCCGGATATAATATACAACGGATGTTACACTTGGACGTTCAATGAATTAATTTTTTCCAATGATCAGTTTCGAGAAATAGTCGATTGGCTGATGCCTCGTACGTACATTTGTATACTCCTTCTTTAAAAAAAAACAATGAATTTTACGATTGTTACAATAATAAAGTTTATACCTATTCTGAACTAGCTTGGTTCATGACATGCAAAAACCTTTTTGCAAGCAACATAGCCATATTATTCGTCTGTTGCATCTTGTTGTTAATATGCACGTGTTGGGCATTTAAACCTCTGTATAAACTACCAGCTCACCAGAAGAAAGATGTATGTGCCATTGTTTTAGGGTTCATAACGCTTTTCATGCTTGTCGTTTCAAGTTCGTGTTTTTATTTCATTATCGCTTGAAAAACTCAACTGATAAAATTTAGTATAATGTTGATTTTAACCGTCTTAATCTTGAATTTTTGTTTTTCCAAATTCTTTTGCTTGAGTCGAGCGTTGTATAACATAATTTTGATAATTATCATTAGTTTCGAAAACATACTTTGTCGCATATTGCAATGACTGGAAGAATAAAATTATTAAAAGTGATTTTTAGCTTAGAACTTTAACCATATTTTGCATTCCATACAACTTTTTATATTGTTCTATATTACTCTGACTTAATCGATTTTTATTTACAGACCTCATAAACGTTTCAGCGATAGCGTTATTTAGCAGTGTTGCTCCACATCGGAAATACATGCCCATGGCCTACAAGAACCATTTTGGTTATTCATTTTGGCTCGATTTTTCTGTGTGCATCATCCTATCGGTCTCAGTCTTTTTAACTTACCTCTCAACCATTTCTAAAGTCATCTATTACGTTGGACCAAAAGATCCAAAATATTCTGACGAGATGATGCTCGGGCGATCCTAGTTAACTATTAAATGTTACTTCTTGGCAGCCACAACAAAAGAATGTGGTCCTTCAATCTATAAATTTTACCTTGACGATTATTTTGTACAAAGCGTTAACAATTTCTGACTTTTTACATTTTAGATGTGTTCCTATTTTTGAAATTAAACTCGAATTTTATAATTTTTCTTTTCAGAATTTTTTGTATCGATTCATTTTACAACATAGAAATGTAATCTGATAAAAATGTGCTCTTGTTAACAAAATATTTCTAAAATAAAATTAGAATTGTTTTGAACAAAAAAAATTGTAGAAAAAATTTAAAAATGGCTACGATTTCTGGTACAGAGCGGACCTCACAAAATCCCATGTTTTGCTTTTTGATAGCTTTGACTGACTGACCGCATTTTTCAATCTTAATGGGCTTTCTTTTTCTAAGTGTTAAAAAATATGCTTCATTTTATCTATTTTTGTGTAATAATTTTACGTGCTAAATGAGTCCTTGCTTATGAAGTAGAAATGAAACTGGCTGCGGATAGATATAACAACCAAAGTGACATTGGTGTCTATTCGAATAGAAATTTTTATTCCATGGAAAGTTTCTCAAGTGTTGTTAACGGCATCGACTTCCAATTATAAAATGTTACGTTAACAACGGAAATAGGAAAAAAATTTCGGAGCACAAATAGTGGGTAAAAGCATGGATATATATCCATGGGTAAAACTGACGTAGATTATTAAAATATCCGAAACGAGGATAATAATTTTATTTTGCAAAGATAACAAAGCAAGAATGAGGAACGAAAAAAAAACAACAAAAGTAAACAGATAGTTGAACAAAATGAATAAAGATATCACATTTGATTATTGGTGTAAGTTGATAAGGATGATGGAGGCGTTGATTTCTGTGACAAACTGGTAGCTGTTCAAATGAAATACAATTACTTTATAATACATTACAACATTGAAAGGTTCATTTTTACACCAAAATTAAATTAAGGGTCTTTAAAACCTATGCACATCCTAATTTTTCAATAGCATAATTTTCTGGTTTTCACTTGTAGAGATCAAGATAGGGAAGGTCTGAGTATAATGATTGACATATGGGTGTTGGTGAACTTTGTTGAAAACATTTTCTCGACTATTGAGAACTTTTTTCACTCTTTTACGCCTTAGTCCGATACTTTATTTTTTAATGTAACCGTAACACTCACGACGTGACGGCTAGATTAGAAATTTGAAACTTTCGACAGATTTATATTTTTTTCCATTTCAAATATCAAATGCATACAAAATTAATGTAATAACACTTGAAAATTGACGCAATTCCACAAATTAACTTAATGATTTCAATCGAAAGTTTCTCGCTATATTATTAACGAGATGCAACGAGATGTCACACACATTCCATTTAGAACCTCAGACTTACCCACCATACCCAGCTAGCCAAGTCGACTGGCTGAGATTTTCTCAGTAGAGTTCACCAACATCCAATCGTTAATAATTCAAATACATTTTTAGTCATTATGTTAATAATAACATTTTTAGACCTTCTCTACCTTGATGAAACATTCACAAGCGATAAACAGTACATGCATTAATAAAAATATATAACTTTTTCAACTTCAATTTTTAAAAACTGGAGCGAATCAACACACGTCGTCATTTATTTGTCGGCGTTTCGAACTAAAAAAAATTCTAAATGCTAAAACATTGAGAAAAAACTTTATCACTAATTCAACATCAATGATTATTAGTTTCGATGAAATGCAGAGGCGTGGCCGACGGGTGTTTTAAAGCAGGAGAAGTCCTCACGAAATTTTTCATAAAAAGTTTTAAATAAAATTCTTTTACGTCATTTTACTGTTCAAAAAGATAAAAAAATTCAACGTGGATTCATGCCAAAATGAATTCCACATCAAAATGGCAGATAACCTAATGAAATTTGACAAACCTTTGAAAATAAAAAGATCGTTGAAGTACAAATAGTCCCGTCTAGTTCTGGCTACACCTCTGATGAAATATATTTTTAAAAGATCAATCTTTCAACGAAATCTTGTTAAAGCACTCAGTTGAAGTTTAAAATTTCTTTTTTAAAGCCAAGAATTGTTGAAATAGCATTTTTTCAAAAACTCTAACCTAAATTTACGAATTAAGAAATACGCTTGAATTCGTAACTAAGTTATCAGTTTTAAGAAAGACTGGACAGCACCAGAATAAATAAAAACTAATAGAAAACGTATATACGAGTGAATCATGCAGACCATAAATATTACAATTAACTTACCAGATAATTGAGATTGTGTTGATGCAGAAGACAATCCCAGAATTATTTTCTCTGGAGGTTTGTAGGCTCCTTTTAAAATCATATCTGTTTGTCATGGCAAATTCATTTTAAGAAATAAGTGATTCAATGTTGTATTTCTATGTGATTAAAACTATCAACTCACACACGTACATGCATATAAATATTAACATATTATTAAATTCAATCGATGTTTGAACATTTTTATTAATAATTACTATTCCAAATTTTGAATTTATCAGTTTAAAAAATTACTGACAACCTAAAAAACAGGACGGATCTCCGGTTTTATTAACCAACTCTTCCATAAAATTCCTCAAAAGACTTAACAAATTTCGAAAACGAACCAAAATAAGGATGGTCCATCGACTCTTTTGCAGTGAGTCTCTCCTGATGGTCATATCGTAGCAACTTATCCAGAAAGTCCAAGGCCTCCACCGACACCAGGTGTTCATTCTCTCCATGAACAAATCTCTCCCACCTCTTACGAGAATGTCTTTTATGGAAATTAACAAAATTAACGATGTACGATAAAACTAACAGACGTCGAACAAACTCACATAAAATGTTTGTAAATCAAAATTTATAAAAACGATAACAATACAAATTAAGCAAAAATATCAAAAAAGATTACTCAACATCAATACGAAAAAAATCATAAAAACATTAAAAGCAGACACCTGCCGAGAATGTCATGGAATCTCTGATCCAATTCAATTTGATATTTATCAATATATTCCAACAACTCTTCCGTGCCCAATACTTTAGCTATTCTAACCAGCTGAAACATTTCAACAAATTAAAATTTATAAACTTTGATCATTGACTTGTAATAATAATTTTACATAAACTGTACCTAAATTACTATAAAAAATGGCAAACGGTAAATAATTGATAAAAAGATTTCATTAAGAAAAGCAATATATGCAGTGGTGTTGAAATGACATTTATAAATGGAAAGTGGTGCTAAATGTATGAAAACATTCAACTAAAAAATCCTATTTGTTGTCAATTTTATGAAATAATTAGTACTAAAAACATAAATAAAATTAAAATAAAAAAATTTTTTATAAACATACATCATAAAAAAATAGAAGTTTAAATTACAATGAACCTGATCATAATTATCGTGCCCATGAAAAAAAGGTTCTTTTTTGAAAATCATGCTTGCAAACATGCAGCCCAAACTCCACAGATCCAATGAATAATCATACAGCTTGAAGGAGAAAATGAGCGATGATTAACAGTGTTGCAAGCAGAAAGAAGCTACCATGAAACAAGCGACCAACCTGATAATCAAGTAGGAGCTCGGGACCTTTGAAATACCTCGAAGCCACCCTTACATTATATTCCTGGCCTGGATGATAGAACTCTGCCAATCCCCAATCAATGAGTCGTAACTTGTTTAGTATTAAATTATAACAAATTAGTGAAAGTTAAAACATTTACAAAAAACTGTTACTAAATTGTAAGAGCATCTGTTATATAAAAATATAATTGAGAAACCCATTTTGTGTAAATGTTGAAAAAATTTAATAAAATTTATACAAAACCTTTTTTAGATCATGGTCTATCATGACGTTGTGTGGTTTAACATCTCTATGCATAATGCCATGACTGTGACAATACTCAAGTGCCTGTAATAAATAATCTAGAAAACAAATCATATTAAGCAAAATCAGCATTAACTTAACTGAACTTAATGGTCTTCCAGAATAACAAAGTCGTTAGAAACCTCCTCGCCATCCTCGTCATCATCGTCCCTTTCAATCTACCACCTCCAAAACTTTTTTATATCTTTCTACTATATTAAGTTATTCGCCCACATGCAAGTTATCATCCTAGTATTATAAACTCTTTCCTATTTCAATGCTACATAGCAAACTTGCCTAAACTTTAATCTCTGTTGAATTTATTAACCTATTTAATTGTGGCTTCAAAACCAAAAGTAGGCTCATTGGTCAAGCAAAGGAAGAGTCTCATTATTTGGTAATGATGATAAATATTTTTAAATTTTACAAATTTTTATGGTAATTATTAATGATTTTGTTTCATCAGAAAAGTATATAAAACGCTATTAACCTTCAACACTTCGAGAATGTAGAATCTGATATCATAATCAGTGAGGGTTGGATAGAGTTGCTGTGGGATGGAATAATAAAAAATTGTATCAAACCCAAAATCAGCTGAAAACAAAGTTGTGAATGCCTACTTTGAAATCAACGTTGTTTACATACTCAAACACGAGTGCTGGTGTTCTGGACTGTTTAAAACAAAAGGAATTCAAATGGGCAGTTGAATAATTTAAAAATGTTAAATAAAAATATTGCAATTGGATTTAGAACAGAACATCTCTTAATATATTTTAAATTTCACATAAAAACGAATTGTAATCATTATTGGACAGCAGCAAATAAAAATAATTCAGCCTTAAAAAGAAGTTAACCAGCAAAGCCTCATCATATGTAGAATCAGTAGCAATTTTTGATGTTATTACAAATTAAAATATATCACCTTAGCTTGTTGATTGATTTAATTTATAAACCTCATTGATTATATATAGTCAAATCATTTGGATTACAAAAAGAATAAAATTGCATAAGCATACTTATCCTAAGCTATAATTATAGTTAAGCTATCTTCTGCTTCAGATACCAACCACGGTACGTAGTGTACATCAATCAATGCTTTATAACTATTTTTATGCCAGACATGCTCTCATTTATCATTTTAACCTGATAATTCATAACATAACAAAGTGATTAAATAGTCAGCAGCAGCAACAACCATCAGCTGACGAGCCACAATAGAAAAAAAGTACTACCAGTTTTGCTAAATATGTATACATATCGGCAGTGTCTAAATAATTAAAATGAAAAACATACGATGGGATCTTTAACAACAGCAAGCAAAGTTATTATGTTGACTCCGTGAGATAGATTTTCCAGTATTTTTATTTCACGCTTTATTTTTTTCTTCTTTACAGGCTGTTGTATATTATCAAATGCTTATAATAAATTCAAAGTATCGTGGAATTCAAGCTTAGTGTTTTGAGAAAATAGACAGATAATTTTTTACCAGTTGAATTATGTGAACAAAACCTAACATATTTAATACATTCACACGGACAATAAAATGGTGAAAAAGAGGAGCATTGTCATTTAAGTCAATTTTAGACAACAATGACACTATCAACAAATTAAAATTTCAATACAGAAAAAAGTATCCCACTTTGAGAATTTTAATGACGCATTTTTCATTATTCTGCAACTTGATTGCTTCAAAGACCTCGCTGTACTTGCCTCTTCCTAATTTTCTTATTAACTGATAATCATCTTGATTTCTTAAGAGCAATAAACAACATTTAAAAAAAAATATTTCAACACAGGTTATATATATATATATATAACCTAAATAAAATTACTGCCTATATATATATATATATATATATATATTCTATAAATTCTACCGAATGTTTGGCGTTAATGTTTGTAGTTCGTTTTTTCGATTTTTCTCACTAAGTTTTTTGGTGGACATTTAGTTTATTAAAATTCAAAATAAGTTTATTACAAACTACAAACATATTAATGCCAAAAATTCGGTAGAATTTATAGAATATTGTAAAAATTATGGTCTATTACCAATATATATATATATATATATATATATATATATATATATATATATATATATATATATATATATATATATAAGCAGTAATTTATGAAATTTACAGAAATTTATGGCATTGGATAGTTTTTTATTACATTTCTAACTAAATTCTTGTCATAATTACTGCCTTAATTATGGTCTTTTACCAGCATATATATGCATATATTAATACATATACAGGATATACAGGACTAACCCCCAATTAACAACATGAGATTCATAATCCCAATATTCACTAGGCTTTTTTGTGTTAACATCAGCATAAACTCTGGCTTTGCTTGGCAAAGGCATGATGATATACTATTTTATAAAAAAAAAATTGAGAAATAATTTCATATTTTACACATACAGTTAAATGTTTCATTGAAATATAACAAGTAACATGACTGAAGTTTTACAGCAATTTGTTGTGAGAGGCAGCGACCTAGTTCATGTTCTTATCAAACCCAAATGCCAATTTGAAGATACCCCTACCATTACCTAAATAAAACAACAGCTTAGTGGTACAAAGGTTTATAGTTGTTTGACAAGGTTGAAGATTCATCTTGGATGTTAGGTAGATGATATTCTCAATCTCTAACTTTTATGCATTATATTATTGATGCTCTATCCAAAATTGTTATATATCATTTAATAAAAATAATGGTGGTTGTGACAATCTCATAATACTCATAATGGTTGAAGGTGAAAAAATACTTGATTATGATTTATCTTAAGTTATAAAAAATTAAAAACCAGAACAATGCTTTCCCCAGGGTTTGCACAATGACATAACTGTCTTGATATAGATATTTGAGTCATTATGAATCAATTAATCTAGCTAGGTGCTTAGCAACCACATTTTTATCCTAACAACAAGTTTTTTTAGGTTAATTTTTAAGATCAGACAAGAACATTCTAGAATGTTAAAGAGAGACAATATGCTACCTTATCAATTATATGGATGCTAATTTTGAGTCAACTAATAAATTACTCTATCACTCACATCTGGAAAACAGAGAACAATGGGCTGCAGATGCTATTATTAATTATTAATGAGAAATATGCCTATGGTCTATGCTATGAGATGGCCTCTAGGAGATGAGAGTCTGGTGTTATGCCATGGGTTCTATTATGTTACCTATTCCCTATTCATATTCATATTGCAATATAATTTTTTAATGTTAACAACACAAATTTATAAGAAAAAAAAATAAAAATTCCAAGTCTACTCTACTCATCTACTGTCTATCTATTCTATATAATATCTATATTAGATTCTACATTCTACAATCTACCTACATTCTCTATATTCAACAAGTAACAAACGCACCAATACCTTTTCTTTTCTTATCTTTTACTTTACAGTTTAACCTCCAACAACCAAGTTCAAATTATTTAAATTAAACTTTTTCAAATCCGAAATAATCAAATGTCTCATAACAGAAAGTAAAATAGTTCTAACACATAAACATTTTTTGAGAACAAGATCATCGGCGTTTAAATCGGTTTGTAAACATAAAAATCCGTACAAAAGACGAACTCATTTTTCCGTTTTCGGTGTGTTTTTAAAAGTACTCCCCTTGTTTCAATTTACATTATTCTGGTTTCTTATTCGGATGAATAACTCCATGTAGTTAAGTTATAATATTAATAAGAAGAATAATCCATACACTTGACCACTCCCATATACTTAGAACAAACCAATTACTTTGAATAACCCTGCGAATAATTATATACATATAAGCATTTATATTGTATAAATATAACAAAATCAACCATCAAGATCTAAAGTGATTCCATTACAATGTTATTTTAATTCAATAAATTCCAAAACATCTACAAGTTGTGTAGACTATAACCTCCCTTATTCTACCATTCTTCTATACACTATTTTATTTATTGAATAATTATTCTACTTATTGAATTATTTATTTTTAAAAAGAGTAAGAGGCTTTGCCTGCACCACAAATTTATTCTATTCCATTCTGACTTTTGTTAAAGTTTTCAATTCTACTGCTCTCAAAATTTCCCATTAAAACTATTACATAACATAGAATACCTCTCAAATATAGCTAATGTTAAACGTTAAAGCTATGGTGTTCAAATCTCAATCCTATAACTTTTCCTTGTTTTTTTCTTTTTGATCTTTATCTTAACTTTATCCTGGTTTTAAATTTCTTCTCATCCTCAACGCTTTTATGCTAAGTCTACTTTTGCTTACTCAGGTTCATTTTTATGTCTGTCTTTCTTCTTATAAACCATTTTAATAACTTTAGGCTCATGTCAAAACTTCTCTGTTTAAATAAATTTTGTTGAGTGTAGTTTGACTGCATGATTGATTGGTTATCTTGTCATATGATTTGCTGATTTGTTTCATTTCCTGTTTATTCGATAATTTAATATATTTCTACTCTTTTTTGAGTACCTAATAATTTCATACTTGTTTAATTAGCTTTTTTTCGGTTGTTTGATATTTTTTTTATGGTCGTTTGATTGTGTACCTAATGTTTGATATTTTTTATGGTCGCTTGATTGTGTACCTAATGTTTTACGCTTGGATGACATGATATGTATTCAGTGTTATCATTTTCTTAAAAAATCTGGGATAAAGTGTTGAATATTTTAGTGACCTGTGACTGCAGGGTACAGTGGAGTGGAATAACAATAAATAAAAAAAGGTCTGAACCCTAAAGATTTAAAATAAAATATAGATAACACTGAGGTTGTCTTTTTTTCTGCCCCAAACAGTTAAATTTGAGTAATCAATAAAAACTAAAATTTAGAATGTAGATTATGACGCTAGAACCTTTAGGTCAAAGATCTAGGTCATGTGGCATGTGCTACAATTCAATTCCTATGGTCTGCGATTAGCAAACTTATTTAAAGTGAACATTCATATATTAATTAACTTTCATATTTAAATCAATTTCAAAGTACTAATAATAAGAAAATTAGTTCATATAACAATTATTATAATCTTTCAGTATTCAGGTAGAAAGTTTCCATGGACACGATATTGTAAATTGTTTCCCAGTTTATTCACATATTTGTTTAGTAAACATATTCATTTCTTTATATGGCCGTGAAATATCAACTTTAAGGTATTTTGACGATGTTGTGTGCAAATTTACACGTTCATCATAATCAGTATTATTTCATGTAAATCTAAAAATCTTGCTAAGCCCTTTTAAAACTTGTCAGCTTATAATATAATGCTTATATAAAATTTAATTATTGACGGGAGATATGATAGGTTGATGGTTAAGGTCACCTGGTGCTGTTTTGCAGTGCGTGTAGTCACCGGGTTCCAATGACAAAAATATTCCCACCTATCGCTTGCTTCGTGTGATGCGTCGTTTAGCTTTCAGTAGGTAGTATATACTATACGCTGTTTGTGTGTTGTTGATTATTTTGAACCTATAAAGAGTGTAATAAAAGACCTTTAATCTTTTCGGCTGTTATTACTTTTTATTTTTCTGTCTTAAAATTGTTCATAGAACATTCGCAGTAACGCGTTCAAAATGTTGGAGATGTCGCCCGTTTTTCTGTTTTTCCTGGTCAACAAACTTAGAACGTTAAAAATTAAGAATTGTGTTTCACCCACTTTAGCCATTTGGATTGTCGTTAAACAATTCTGTTGGTGTAAAATTTCCAAAAGAATTGGTAAACTTTTATTCAAGAGGATGCCTCAATAACTGTCGCTTTATTTATCAAATATATTTATTGTTATAATACTTTAAAAATCGAAATGGTGATTGAAAGTTTTTGCAATTTTTGTTATTTTTATATAAGGCGGAAAAAGTTTGTTGTAGTATCAGCCACTAAAAATTTGGAAAATTAGTTTTATAGCATATTTTAGTAATGTTTAATACTAGAAGTCTTCATCAAACAGCATTAGAAAACCTTGTTTAACACGCCACCTGCACATGTGCCGTTATGTCGATTATATATAGAAATAGAATATATAGAAATGTTACCATAGGTACTTTCGCGTTGGGTCTCGGTTGATTCATTTATCAACCTAAAATCCACGTCAACACCACTGGAGCTGTCATAATTTGATACTTCTTTGTTTTATTCTTTTATTATTTGAAGCATTACGTCACATAATTTACCATTGAAAATTTTTCGTAGATATTTGACTAAAAATTTTGGAACTGGAAGATTTTGTTTGAAAATGCGTCAGAAAATTGACATCATGTCTACATTAGTACAGAGTAATGCTAAAATAAACAATGATTTGTCTATGGTTGACAGAGAAGTCTGCTCTGGTAATATGGGAGATAAACCTGGGGATGCAGCAAAGTGCAAAAAGAATAGTTTGTTCATGATTGGAATGTTACAAAGACTGCAGGTTAATTTAATTGAATTTAATTATTATAAACTTTCCTTATTACATAGACAAGCTAAATATATTTTGTAGGTTTGAAAGTATGTGAAAGTCGATGCCGTTAGGTTCCGCAGATCGCAGCTCTAAATATAAATTGTCAACAGAGGTGCAGCCAAGTGGGTGAGCTTTGGCCTTTGGGGCTTCATTCCTCACAATGTGAGAATTAGTAAGGGTGAAGATATTATGCCATTCAAATTTTAAGATGAGCTAGAGTGCGATAGAAGCAAAAAACTTACGCAGTCTATCTCGTTTTTTGAAAATAGTTTCCAAAAAATTAACAACATTTACACGTTTAATGTATATGCAAATAAAATCTTACAGATTTATGCCCTAAACGAAAGAATGAAAGATAACCAGTGCCTGTCATGCGATTCAATGTGAAATACTTTTGCTTGTTTTGTTCTACTCGTTTTCCATCAAATTTATTTTGTTTAACGAATAAAATTTCAGAGATTTTGTTATTCATGTTACTGCTATTTTACAATTAGTTACGATTTTCCGATAATAATTTAAAAATTCATATACGTTTTAATTACGTAAGCGCGACATTTCGAACTTTCGAACAAATGAATTTTACACTAGAAGAAATAAATTATTATTCGCATAAGATTTATAAAATCTAAAAACTGTAACTCAAAATTTGTGCATAAACAAAGACAAAAATAATTTAAATACATGCAGTTTGTTGTGCGTCAGCTACTGTTGGCAATTTTATCATCCAAACTTGTTTTAAGATCATCGTTGCATTCGTTGACATTGTTCGTATCAGTTATAAAATCATGAGTATCTGCCAACTGTGTTTCACTACTGGTTACAATGTTGTTATCGTTATGCTTGTTGTGCTGAATGAGGGCCAAGTCGGAATAAAGACGAGATGGATGGCCTCTGGGACGAGTTAAAGAAATGTCCAGCAACCCTTCTGTAAGGTTTAAAATGTAGTATGTAAATATATTCACGAATATTTTACATTTACAAACCTTCTTTCGCCAATTTTTTCAATTCTTTTCTTTTGTTAGCAAACCAGTTAGATATAATTTGCGCAGTAACTTTTTCTCTTTCCGTTAATTCTCGACCCGCTTTATTTTGGGAAATATTGAAAAAATCAAAAAGACATAATCTTTAGGTATTGTCAACAAAATTCTAACCTGCAGACTCGGTGACCGTATTACATGCAAGAGCAATTTCTTCTCTCGTTTCGTAAGTTGGATAATTGTTTTCTAAAAAGTATTTTTCTAAAATTTCTAAATGACTGGGACGGAAAACAAATCTTTCTCGCCTTGGAAAAGATGTATCCGAGGATGAAAGATCAAGCGAATCTATGGAAGACGGATGGATAAATTTTCTATTTACCGTGTTGTTAGAATTCGCATTTAATAAATGCTGTGCTGCATTAGCTGCAAAACCTGTTTTAAGTTTTAAAGTTTGAAACAAATTAATCTTCAACTTTTATCAGTTTTAACACTTTTGAAAACTAGAATGTAAACGTCACTGTAAACTAATTTTAGACCAAGCAAATAAAAATATCCAACAAAATCTATGTCCAGTTTCCTTTTATATAAAAGCTTTAGGCCATAAAAATACATTTGAAAGCCAAACCATCATCTAAGCTGAACATAAAAAAATGGTTACACTAAACAAGTTGTTTAAAAGTGATAAAAGTATAATAAAAATAAAAGTGATAACTATTGATTGCTAAAAAGGAGGCGGGACAGAATGCCAAAATATTAAAAACAAAAACATTCTAAGTGTCCTGAAAAGTTTTTACAAGAATCATGTTGAAGAATACAAGACAAAGTATTTAAGCTTCTAAGAGAAAATCAATGGAAATTTATAAAAGATGCACGAATCAAATTATTATCTCTGAATAGTTATAATATAAAATGCAGTAATGACAAAGTTATCTGTTTTAAGAGGAACATGGAAGCTTGAAGTTCATTAAAAGCTTCATTAACGAAAGAAATAGCATCCGACTAGAGGTAAAGAACCAGAAAGGTTCCAGATCACAACAAGTTTTTACCTGTACCGTTTTAACCTTATTAGAGAGATATAGAAACGAGGTGACAAGTTAAAGCAAAAATTGAGCGTGGAGAAGAAAAATTTCGAGATAATAAATATTTAAGATTTGTACGTTTTAAACAGCTAAAATTTAAAAATAGCATTGAAGAATCGTTTCAGTTTTGTTAAATTGAGTTCAATGTACGTTAAAATTAATTTGCCAAGCTAATCACATCAAAAATATTGAATAAAATACAATTTATTTTACTGAAGTCAAGTGATGAGTGTAACTATAATATTCAAATGAAAATAAGACGAGATTAACCGATAGATGCTGGACTGTTTCTGTAGAGGAGGTACCACTTTTGTATCGCTCTTCTACTTCTCTCTGACATATCGTATATATCCCCTTTCATATATCTACTAACATAAGACTGGCATATACCTATGAAAAAAATACTCAATCTTTATTTTCCGCGAAGAACATGAGATTTTCTGGCAATGTCAACTACATATTAATATTTAAAACATAAAAGATATCGGGTACCGTTATATCTCTAATGTAAGCAAGCATTTGAACAATTGTTTCAATAAAAACTTTTGATCTACACGCAAAAAATATGTAAAAAAAACCTAAGCACGAGAGTTAAATAAGGATATTTATAACTCACACAAGAAACGCTGTATATGTCAGAATCAGTTTGTCAGAGTCAAAGGTTTTAGCGTGAATCGAGATTTTCAGACGGTCGGACATTTTTCATCCAATTTCACAAAAATTTAAGAATTTGAAAATAAGTTTTAATTTTCAAGCTAGTATTGTTTAGACTTAGAGAATATCTATGTGATGACGCCACTAAAGCAGAGGTGAGCAAGCTACGGCCTTGTTCGCCAAAAAACAAAAAAAGGTCGTCAGCCAGACATCACGACCAAAAAAAAGAAAACGAAACACAAATCTTAAAAATTACTCATCCAAAAAATTTGATGTCAAAGGCCAGACAACACGACCAAAAAAAGGAAAACGAAACACAAATCTTAAAAAAATCTCATCCAAAAATTTGATGTCAAAGTACCTATGCAGCCCTTCAAAGGTAAAATAGTTCTCAATGCGGCCTTAACAGCAAAAAGTTTGCCAGACCCTGCACTGAAAGCATTTTGCCATCATTTTAATTTTCAAAAAGTTGTGCATCTTAATCTTAATATGCACACAGTATGGTGCAAACTGTCTTGTAACTTTAGTGAAGAAAAGTCAATTGATCAAAAAGTTTTTTTAAATTAATTTCGTAAATATTTTTGAATACTACTTATTTGTTTCACTATTAAAATTTAAGCATCAAGTAATAGAAGATAATGGTTTCACAACTTGCACTTAAAAATTGTGTTCAAACTTTCAATCAAGTTTAAAACTAAAAGATATCTTGCAGAATCTAGAACCTAGAATGTCATCAAAATTAAAAAAGTTTGAAAACATACCAGCGAGCGTGGCTATTTGTTGCTGCTTTATGTTATGCTTGATTGCAAAAGACCTGATCTCTTCGCAACATAACACTTCACCTTGACTGAAAAATAAACGGTTTAATGAATAAATTTTTTATCGGGTTTCAACGATTTAAAAAAATTACTTTAAGAAATTCAGAAACTCTTGTGTGTCAACATCTGGATCATAAATTACATCAGATTTATCTGGCATTGCGTTATCACTATGTATTTTTTTTTCTTGAGAAATACTGCTTTCGTTCGGTGGAATGACTAAATTAGAAACCTGAATTTGTGGAAGAGAAGATTTCAAAAAATTAGCTGCTGGACTTGGTTGTGAACTGGATGATGCAATTGCTGGGCTATTTGTCAAACTAAAAGCCATCAGTTGTAGTGCTTGAGCCTGTAGAGCCTGAGTTTCAATATCAAACAAGAAAATTACATTTAACATAATAAACATTAAAATATATTTCTAGGTTGAGGTTAAGTCAACAAAAATTAAATTAAAAAAATAAAATGAAATAACAAAAAACAATGGATCTTCAAGTTTAATCAGAATAGTCTTTTTAATACAAACAAATTAAATTTATTTTTTGCTATTTGCAGTTATCATATAAAAACATTTTTCAATTTTTTACAATTTCAAAATGTTCTTAACTAGAATTAAAAAAGAAATGTACTCTACAAAGAAGAGACAAAATAATGTTATTTTGCTACCTATCTCATTTTGTAACTTTTCAATAAAAAATGTTGCAGTTCACAATCTACATTTTATTTCCGAATTAAAACGAATATTTCAAATAAAACACAAAAAATGGTTGTTGCCATGAACATTTAAACAAATTTTACTTGAATGCTAATTATTTTGACTAATGTGCAAACATAAAAAATCACCAATAACATTTTGTAAGTTTTAAAGAACAAAATAAATGTCATAGAATATTTATTGTTTATGTTTTCTTTACATATTGTACAATATGGGCTAATTTTTATCTTACATAATTTTTAAAATTTTTGAATAACATAAGCATTGAGGGTACTGATACTCATATTGTAGAATGCAAGACAAGGCAACCATCTCGCCCAATGTTTTTTACCATATCTTCTAGGGGTCTGGCATATTGCTAGATTATAAAAACTGTTTATGGTTTCTTTTTTCATGACTTACATCAAAATCTGCTTGTTCAATGTTCAAATTTTAATTTCAGTTGCAATATTTTCTTGCTTCTATTCATCTTTTCTGTTCTGAATGTCATTCCTAATTATTCAAAATGCAAATTTCCTTTTATTATTGTGATTTCAACAGACCTGACTGGTAAATGATGCCAAAATTTATTTTTCTTATTATACTTAGTAACTTTTATGCTTTTTATAATTGATAATTAACCAAAGTAATAAAACTTATAAGAGTATTCTACCTATTCAAACAGAATATTTTTGAAACAATCTTATTTTATATAGTACAGCCAGACATTTGGCAGTTTTTAATTTTAAAAATAAATAACCAGATGAACACTCTTTAGAATATTAACATAAAAATCAAAAGTTTGGAAAACAATTTATATTTTATATATGTTACACACACAACCTGCCGCCAGCTGTCTTGAGGCTTTATGTTTATTTATCAAAACTAAAAAGTTCTAGGCACTCTATATTTTTTAGAGACTTTAACATTTTATAATATATAAATTGTATTTATATATATATGTGTGTGTGTGTGTGTAGTGTATTATAGGTATATATATTGTGTTTATGCGTGTCAAACATTGTTATTACAATTATTGCTAAATATTATTAATAAATATATTTTAAATAACTATTGATTGAAAATAATTAAAAAACGCACCAAGGCAACTGGGATGTTGTAAATAGGTCCAATCTCTTTGTCAATTTTTTCAAAGGAGTCAAAGGCTGAAACAATTTCATCTTTGTTGATTCCACTATTCTTTAGCCTCCTAATTAATTCCAATTGTTCGACTGTGAAAAGAGGAGATGATGACTGAAGCGAAGTTGAAGTCATTTCAACCAGATATGAAATTTGGTTTTTTGATCTCTAAACAGTTAAACACTAGTGACTGTTTAGTAAATACACAAGACCATTATATTATATTATTATTACCAAATTTTAAAAATCTCAACGAAACAAAAATAAATATGATAGGTCATAAAATTTTAAGAACTTAACAAATCTAAATTAATAGTTATTAATAACAATTTTTTGTTTTTTATCATGATTATGACTTTTATATTGCCTTTTCTTTTGATTATTAAATATTATGTGTTGTGTTTTTAATTTTTACCTCAAAAATTGAAATACTTTAAATTCAGTCACGGCTGTATTAAATTAATTAATAATAATGACTGAGAATTTATTTCTATAAGATTTTCAAATAACTAATTCGTGCGTCAACGATCCGACATCACCTGAATCATCAATTTATCATACGTTTATTTATAACAGTCCTATTCACAGTTATGAAAAACATCAATAAATAAAAAACAACAACAAGTGATGCTGCGTTTTGAGGCGACGCAAGTGCAGCCCGTCCAGCAAAAATAATAAAGAACGCGCTAGCTACAACATTGCTGCTCACAAGCGCGTACAAAGGAGCTTTAAAGCTTTATTGATTGATGAATCGGGCAGGATTTATACATCTAAATTATCGCGTGGCCTTAGAAATTTTGCGAATATGACATGATAGAAATTGCAGCGTATATAGTTGTTTCATAATATATATTTATATATGTTACGTTTATATATAAACATATATATGCTATGTATTTATTTATATATGTTTACCGTTGTTTATTAGTTCCGTTCATTCTGTGTGATTCCATGTGGCTATATTATGTGGTTATATTAGCCTCATAGATTGGCATACCAAAATTAATTTACAAAAATATTCTGGAATTATCTACTTCTATAAGGAAAGAATAGTTATTGCCCACAAAGGCCTCTACTACCGACCAAATTATTGAACAATTTTTCAGTTCACGACAAAAGTCTTGCAAAAAGAAGAAAAGCTTTGGTTTGGAATTATACACTTTAACATCAACATGGTTGTGCCAGAATTAATTTACAAAAATAACTCTTAAGTTATCTGCTTTTATGAGGAAAGAATAGTTGTAATCTAAAGCCGCTTCTACTGACAAATAATTTATCATTTTTTCAGAAAGTAGATAACTTTCAGACTACACTATTATCTGTAAATAAACAGTGGCGGTAATTTATGGATGTTCTGGAGGTGGTGCGATTCTTTGAAATTGCTATGAATGATTTTTGAAATAGTGAAAGGTTGGATGGACTAGGCAACTTTGACGGGAAGGCCCAAAATTGAAAAATGTTTAAATTTTCACGGGTTAAAATTTGTGGTAGTGTAGCTTACGACATTTTATGCTTATCACGTTCAATTTTTGGTCGATTTAACCCATAAAACGGTCCTTTTTCGAACTTTTATTAATAAACTACTCTAAACGTCTACCGTCATTAAAATCTAGAAATTGACGCACTGTTAATAACAATTCCTGTCCCGTAAGTTCAACAGAGTTCAATTCCAGGCCCACCATTATAATATTCATTAGCCTATATTTATTAACTCTTCGGTCATATCGTATTAAATTTCAAATCTGATTTTAATGTATTAAAATCTGTGTTCAATTTATGACCGGGTTGTTGCATCATACTACAATTTACAAATTTAGATGAACTTGATTCATAGCTTGGTCATAAAATAAGAATCAACATACAACATAAAAAAAATGCAATTAGACGGGGAAATTTGTTTAAATTTTTAAGTTATAATGTCATTTAATTTATTTTGGTTACAACCTGTCAGACATATCTGGACCTAACAATCGTTTTAATTCAAATTTCTCAAATTTATTTTAGCTTTAAGTCATGATAACTAGACTGATTATGTGTATGGTTAAAACAAACACACTCAAATTCATTTTAGCCAGAATGGCTTGAACTTTTATCTTTTATAATATAAAATTGATAATATTTTCGACCATACCAAATTGCAAAACAATCGTTTGAGTCTACATTTACAAATTTAAAAAACAAATTGATAACATAAACCAGATACTTAAACCAATTTTTTAGCTTCAAAAAATCCTTTAAGATGTTTCATTTGCCAAAATCCAGTGACCACAAGAATGGATAACTGTGCCACTGCCCACCAAAATACTCTTTGATTAGTACTTTCGCTAGTTTCTCTGAACCGTTCCTCTCTGAACTGTAAAATTTTTAAAAATTATTTTACATATAAATTTTTTTCAATAGGCAATTTATCAAATGGCATTCTGATGCATTTGACATGGAAGCACTTAATTACTGGCAAGCAGTTTAATTGTGAGGAAAAATAAATTAAAAAAGTCTGTCATAGCAAGCCCAGGAAGTTTCTTCTTGTGGGTACAGTATGTCATAAAGAGCATTTTTGCAACAGGTTAATAAGCCTCAATCATTTTATCAACTTGCAACCCTTTTCACAATTTCTTATGAACTACATGTCACATACAATAATAAGATAAGACATTATTGAAAAGTCTGATGAAATTGAAAAATCTATTAGCATTTTTGCAAACAAAAATAGTAGAGTTCAGGCTTTTAGATAACAAAAAAAATGGCTAAAATATAAAAAGCTTACTCGTTGATAATTTTGTTCTTTTGATATCATTTCTATTTGGTCAAGCAATTGTCGAACTCTTAATTGAAGTTCTGTTAATTTATCTTTTGAAGCAATTTCTTGGTAATCGTTAGCTCTTTCTCCAACTTGAATGCTCAAATGAATTCTCTTGAAAAATTAATAAAAATTACAGTTCAAAAAAAACAAACAAAATCATTTAAAAAACATAATAAAAGTAAACAAATAATATACAGTGACCCACATAGAAAAAAGCAAAACTATCATTGAAACAACGGCAGATCCCAATGCGAGGCATTTCCAAAATTATGGAGAGCCTCTTGCTAGTTATTTAAAAGCTTAACAGTTTAATTAAATGAAGCATGTATCAATGTCTTAACTTTGCATTCCACTTACAGAAATTAAAGCATTCAGGTGGACAATTAAGAAATTTCAGATAAGCTGAAAATCATATCTCTCAAATTTATGGGATTTTTTAATTCTCCTGTTGGTTAGATTAGATTTGATTAACACATTCCTTAAAACTTCAATTTATTCTTGTAACATTTTATATAATTTTTCCTTTATTATAAATAATTTAGACAGAAGCACCATAACAAGATAATATAATAATTATATATATATATATATTTATTATATTATATATATATATATTTGGATATATATATATATACAAATATATATATAGAAAACCATAAAAAACTAACAAGCTGATGACCACCGAACCAAGCTGAAGTGTTTGCATGCAAACATATGAGATGCTCCCCTGCCATGTGGGATGTGAATGAAAATCTACCCTCTGACGCATAGGTCTGTGAGAAAATTATAAAAATTCTTTCAGGTTGTTTCAATTTTACTCTAATCAAGTGAAAAAATCATAAATTTCAAAAATTGTATTAAAATTGAAAAATTTCTGCATAGGTGAAAAGTGCTTAATTCTTTTTGATAATATTGATTTCATTTTCAAGATATTAAACATTTTGATTCTCCAGTTATAAATCATATATAAAACTTTCATTGGTAAATAACTTTACAAAAATGAAACCAAGTTAGCGTCTAATTATAATGTAAAATGATTAAAAATAGTTCTAAATATTACCCTTGAAAGCATGGTTTTGTCTTCAACATCTTTGACTTCCACATGCATCCCAAGACCAGGTAATGAAGGTACAAAGCGACTTATGTTGGCATCGAAGATTTCCACTTTGTATTTACCTAAAATAAAAACAAATTATAAAAGTTTAATTATCACAAATAATCTGAAGTCACTTCTCTTTTTAATATTTAATATGAATAAGTTTATGCAATTATCTTTTGATTGAGTTTTTGTATCAAATAAAATATGTAATTTTTGTAATGTAATTATAATGATAATGTCAATATGACATATGTAATAAAAAGGAAATAAACAGTAAAGTGAGATGTTAATGAAATGACAATAAAATTTAATTAAAATTGGTAAATGATGGCCATGACGAATTTGCCGTTTGTTTGCTTACTAGTTTACTTTTTCAATATTCATATTTATTACTGATTGTCTTACTTTTTTTTAGTTTTACTTTTAAAAGATTATCTTTAATAAAAAAAAGTAAAATCTGATCTCAAATCTCACCTACAACTAACGTATCATCAGGTATGTCTTCGATGAAACATTTTTTTTGAGTTTCTCCAATATGAAAATATAAGCCGTGTATAGCTGGCAAGAAGAAACAGACGAAACTCTTGATCGGATTGAAGATCATTATTTTAATTTTAAAATGTCGGAAGCGTGGATTGCCACGTATAATTAAATAAATGAAAAGTGGCTTGCCATTGAAAAATTAACTTTAACCTAGAATATTTATTCTATAGAGAATATTTATTCCATAGAGAGTATTCTAAATATGCATGCTTAAAATTATGATTAAACCATATATATAAAGTATGTACTATAGATATGACTTAAACATAGTTTCAATATCTATGAAATTTTACTTGAGATTAAACTTGAATAATTTGACCTGAAATCGTTTACGTCACTATATCCTAATTATCTTACCCCAGTCACTCAAACTCATTGAATTACATAAAGGACCTGGAACATTGATTATGTCATTACTCTGTTCTTTTAGACTGTTAGCGATTACTCTGTGGAGTCTTCCTGTATCAATTATAATGGATGCGTGATGCTTCCAGCACAGCATGCAATGGGAGTGACATGATATAGGTAGGGCAATTCCAGTTTAAAATTTCGTACTCAAACCTAAAAAACTCGCATATTTCTTGACTTGTGGTTATGCATATGTTTGACGTCATTGCTGCTATTGCTTCCAGTAAATTTAATAGGGCAATACCAGCACAAAATAACATGGAGACGGTTAAAAAATTTAAATAGGAATTCCCTGTTATGAACATATTTTTGAGACAGAAACTCAACAATCATTTCTGGGTTTTATATAAATCGGCAGTAATCATTTTTCGGTTTTATACTAATTAACAACAATCATTTCTTAGATTTATACAAAGTAGCTACGAAAACACAGCATGTTGGGTTTAAGAGATATTGATGCAAGAAGAAACTATATGAACGCTTTTTCCATATGCAAGTTTATCATGCATTTAAGCATGAAAGCTGTTTTTGTATTTTTTTGATTTGTTATATAATATAAAAAAAACTAATAAAATATGCAAATCGATATACTTTTAAGGGCCATTAATATTAATACAATATTTTAATTTCATTATAAGGAATCGAATCATATACCAAAATAGACGGTATGTCAATAAAAATAATTCGTAAATCGCTAATTTGTTTTATCTTTTTATAATGATTAGCATTCTTCAGCGAAAGTTTGAAAATCTGTATTTGATCCAGCTTCATATTTCTTTTTGCCATCTAAAATATCTTGAAATATGATATATGACTTGAATTGAACCTACGGCAATTTCTGCTTACCAAGCAAGCTGTTAAATGTTTCTTCGTACCCAATTATAACCAACCTGCAAAAATTGTACGCACAAAATTTGATTTATGGTTTTACATTTTTTTTATACAGACTTTAGATCTTTGACGATATTTTGCAAACGTTTAATTTCTTTGAGGTTATTCATTTTTTCATGAGACAGCCTTTCACATAGTTTCTTCCAATCGTTATTTGAAGTTGATTCGTTGCATGAGCAGAGTTTAAATTTTGATGAGTTGCTACCATTTTTTGCATTAGAATCTAAACCTTAATAAATAAATAATTCACGAAAACTTGTAAATTCATTTTTAAATAAATATGAAATATTGTTAATTTGACACAGCAGTAAACTATCATGCTATTTAAGAATTATTAATAGCTAATTAAATTAAAATGGCTGAGATGTATTTTTCGTAAGTTTCAAACAATTTTTATGCTATGCATGAATATGAAGATTGGAATCAATAATTTATTTACATGATGTGCGTGTTAGTGTGTACTAAGCTAAACAAACCATACAATTATTTATTTATTTATGAATGTTAGTCTTAAGTTTGGTTTAATAAAGATGTTAATAGGGGCTTGCAACACTTTTTGTTTTTGCTGAAGTTTTCGCAACTTACAGAACAAGAGCTGAAAAAATATTTTGAGAGTTGTTTTTATTTATCTTCTCAAATCAACTTACCACGCTTTTTTCACATAAGATATTTGTTTGTAATTATATATACAACATTCTATCATTGCTACACTTGGTCCCGGCCAATAGATCCTGGTCAATTAAGCTTTATCCTTTGTACTGTTTATCATGAATGAGACTGCAGTTGACACCAAATAAACTTACACTTAATTTGAGTTCTTTAAACCATGTTCCGTTTTCATCAAATAACTACAATTTTACAGATGAATTCCAGGTAAAAAAGGAAAAACATTAAAAATGCCGCATTCCACAGTTCCATATATGTTTGTGTAGTATCATCATATGTTAAAGTAAAACTACATTCTACCTTCTCATTGTGTAAACTAAACGTAATGCCATTTTTTGGCTAACAACGCTCGTTGGATTGATACCAGACGGATCATCAAGAGCTGATGTTTGGTGACGGAGCCGTTGTATCGTAGTGTTTTTTTTTACATTTTTACCTCATTTACTTTACTATCATTTGAGATGTGGTTTGATTGTATTGTCCGCTTCACAGCATTGCCAAACCTTTTATAATGGTTAATTGCGAATTTCTATACTATAATATACTTCCTGCCGCACCAGTTACATTTTGAACCAATTAGGAGTGATTTGTTTACAATATCTTTGAAAATTCGTATATACCACTGTAAATTATTGTTACACAAAACTATTAGGCAACAATTTTATTTGTAATTTAAAATTTTTAACAAAATAGGGCATAATAATTAAAATCAAATTAATTTGTAAATTTAAGTATTACACAATCAGGATCAAAATTAACCTGTTTTCAAGATCAGTAGTGTGGTACCAAGCGTCGCGGGATTAGTTTGGTGGAATCGTGTGTGACAAATCCATAGATAGAGGGTTATATTTTAAAAAATAATTTTAAAAAATACCTTGACGTTTTGTTAATAACATTAATGAAAAATAACAATTAGTTAAATAAATTTATTTAAAAAAACATCCAACTGAAATTTCATACCTATTTCTTTGCTTTTATTGAATCCAACGAAAGATAAAAGAAGGTATATAAGTATAACTAAAATTGAACACACCGAAAGAAAGATAAAAGGTATTTCAGAAAAAATCATTATTACTAAACAGGATAAAATTAAATAGCACAATTGGTAGGTACAGCTTACAGCAAGCAAAGCTAATTTGTTTGCAGTTTAACCAGGCTGAAGCTTAAATTAAAATCAATATGTGATTACTCAGATATGCACGAACTGTATACAACAAATGAGAAATGCCTATATGTATTAATATATGTGTTAATATATACATAGCATATTTTCACACAGAAACACACACACCACATGCATACGTACAAGTATGCACTTTTGTATTACCAACACATATGTTTGTAGAGGATCAACAAAACAATAACCACATATGTTTGTAGAGGATCAACAAAACAATAACCTATTTACGAAAAACAAAACACAAACTTGTACTTAAAAAATCGCAATATCAACGTCGTCCAAAGCAGATAAAATGATATAAAAAACGTGGTCATGACGTTATTTTACATCAACAATTAGTCATCTTTATTCTCAACAAACAATAATAACAAAAACAAAAACTTTATAAAAAGTAGTAGCCTAATAAATTTCATATAAAAGAACATATATTGTAGATAGAATAAGATATATAAAGTATATTCTAGATAATTATTAAAGGAAGCTGCTCTGAAGGCAGAAATAATGTAGGATGGTGAAAGGTGATTGTGGAAAAGATATGTATTTTGATATTGATTAATTTGATGTATTTTTACATAATATAAAGAATATTTTTTAAATTAGCACATTAATGCATAACATGACAGAATACGTTATACTATAACTACAACAACAAAAAAGTAAAAATCTCAAACTATATTTGTTTCTCAAATAGGTATTTGTTAAATATTTTAAATAAACCTTATGAAGTCAGTCTACGTCATAGCCTACGCCTGTTTCCAAGCCTTCACTTTTTAAAATTCTTGTTAAAAACTCTAAATATTGAGTCTGCCTTTAATTTTTTGCCCTTCTCTAAAGAAACCTTAGAGAAGGGCAAAATATCCTTACAAATTATAATATACCTTTTCTCTATTTTTCTGTCCCTAACAAAATTTCGAGAGGATTTCCAGACTCATCTAATTGCCAAATTTATTGATGGGCAATGTTGAACAACAAGTAAATGGCGCTAAAAATAGATTTATTAATTTCGAAATTCAGAGCAGTCCTCATTTTCAAAATCTATTTGTATGGACAATATATATTCATGTGTATATATCCATCAAGGAGCGCTGTTGAGCTAAACGAAAATACCACAATAAGAATAAATTGATAGAACGATAGATTGACTGATTGAAATAAAATATTGATATTAAATGTCAACCATGTTTATTATTATTTTATTATTATTAATTGCCTTTACATAATTATTCTTGGGCGGCGTGTGGCCTAGTGGTTAAAGTCGCCTGGTGCTGTTTCTACTATATTATAATAGGTCATACAATTAAACCAAAAATTAAGTCAAGGTAAATAATTCTGGCATCAAAACCATGGATACAAATATATATATATATATTTATGGTCAAAACTAGATTTTATTTGTCACTTACTATAACGAAATTTTGAGATGGGATTGCCCTTTAGTATATCTTTTACGTTGTAGGTGCGCTCTACTGGAAACACGCATCCATTACAACTCCAGCTGGCAATAGTTTACGCTGTAAAATGTAGTATAATGACATAATTGCTTCCGGGCCAACGTTCAGATCAAACGCTTTATTTCACTTCTTATGTATAAATTTATGCTTACAATTTTAAGCATAAAGTTTAAGCAAAAGGATCTAAGCTCGAGACGTTACTCTTTTGTTCGTTTCTTAAGGTGTCGGATTCATCTTGGTAACAGAGTCGACTTTCGCTCAAACATTTCTAAGCATAATTTTTATAGGAAAAATCATTTGTTGTTAAATGTTTAATAGAACCGAGGCACTTAAATGGTCAACGTTTTAAAAAAAATCCTTTTCTCGTTACTTTTTGTTCATATGGGAAGTGATCAGTCTTTTCCTGCTGACGACTGTTTTTTGAGAATCTGTTGCATTTTTAACGATTTTTAATGCTATTTTTAAAGGGCTTCCGAACTTCCGTATATTTATATCTGCTCGATTAACCCACAAAACATGCTAAAAAACGATTACTACTTAAGTAGAAATTTATTTGAACATAAAATAAATTCAATGAAAGTACCTTTGCAAATTAAAGAAATTCAAAACAAGTCAGTTTTAAAAATAATTTTTTCTAATTTCAACCCCAAACAGTTTTTGTATTTATAATTTACAATCCATTAAAACGTATACAAAACGATGTAATCAAGGGATCATTACAATCAAATATGTAAATAATCTACTTAATATACAACCGTAAACAAATAAAAGTATCGTCTAATTTCAAAGAAGCATGCATGTTCTGAAGAAAAATTTTTCGTTTGACAAATTTTTCATTATTCCAAATGGCAAAAGCAGACACAAATGAAATAACACAATAACAAATTAAAAATAATAAACAAAGACAAAAATAAGGTTGATGAACATAATCATTAAAACAGACAATATAATAAAAGGTAACAAAGATAAGATTACAATGATCTTGCAAAACTTTGTTCATGAAGATGGAGTATTACCTATCTTACAACTAAACATTGCAACTTTTCCTCCAGCTTTTAAAAATTATTATCAAACGTTATAGTATGTTAAACTGCCAGCTATTTCATATTTAACCAAATAAACTATAGAGCAATTTATGTTCACTTTTCAAAAAGCTGAAGATACTGTGTATTTTGTCTGATTTTTCTATACAAGTAAACAAGTGTTGACAAAATTGTTAAAATAAACATTGACATTTTTAAAAACAAGAGTTTCCAATGCATCAATGATTTTGACAATAACAAAATTTTATCCAATGAAAACTTAATCCAATTTAATTTGAAGTCTGATTCTAATATTCTTCATTAACAAAACTTTTATGGAACCTTTTTCTAAGGTAGTAGTATATAACCATAACATGCAAATAACACTACTTCAATGTAATACATATTGTGTAACATTGAATGATACTAATTATTGACTAGAACATGAATTTTATAAAAATATTCATTCAACATTGTTGTGCAATTTCTGTTTGTGTCTTTTCAAATTGCTAATTTCAGAAAATTGCTTATTACAAAACTCACAAGAAAATCGTTTGTTAGCATCATGAACCCTCATATGCCGTTTCAGATTACTAGCAGCCACAAATTCCTTTTGGCATTCGTAACAAGTGAATGGTTTCTGACCTGTGTGTATAGCCATGTGCCTTTTCAGATTGCTCATCTCAAGAAACGGTTTGTCACAAACATTACAAACAAACGGCTTCACTCCCAAATGAATTTTAGAGTGACGTTTCAAGTTTCCAGCTTCATTGAACCTTTTTGAACAAACAGAACAGGCAAAATCTTTAACTCCTGTATGAGTTTTCATGTGACGTTTTAAATTGCCAAGTTCAAGAAATTGTCGTCCACACAAGAGGCAATCATGCTGTTTGGTTCCAACATGGGTGAGCATGTGTTTTTTGAGGTTGCCAGCTTCACTGAACTTTTTCTCACATTCTACACAAGAATATGGCTTAGTCCCATTATGAATTTTTAAGTGGCGCTTCATGTTTCCAGAGTCATGAAATGGCTTCTGACAAATAGGACAACAAAAAGTGTTATTCGTCATGTGACACTTAGAATGTCTTTTCAGGTTCCAAATCTCAGTAAATGTTTTACGACAAACTTCACAGGTATATGGTTTTAATCCGGTGTGTAAATAAATATGCTTCTTGTATTTGTTAGATTGAGTAAACTCTCTTCCACAATGAGGACAGACAAATCTTTCTTTATTAATATCAGTGGAGCACTTACTAATTTGCAACTCCAATTCCGTTTTTTTAAACTCGCAATCAACTGTAGTGAATAGATTGTTTAACTGTTCCTCCATCTATCTAACTAATTACTTTATTGTCCCTGCATAATGTAAAAAAACTGTATAAGTAATTGATGCCATTTTTAATAATATTCATATTCATTATTAATGAATGCTATGAATCTTGAATGTGAAGGGTTATCAAATTGTTAAATTTAAAAACTAATACAAAACTAAAACTAATTAAATATAATTTATAAATGTCTAAACTAAATTAAAAAAGTTTTAACTGTTAAAATTCAACAGTTTAATTAACATTATTAGATATAATATAATATTAAAATTAAATTTATTTAAATAATTAATTTTTTTTTTTTAGATGAAATTTAAATATAAAATAAAGTTAAATAAATGTATAAATAAATCTTTTAAAAAATAAATTAAAATGTAAGGAATGGGGAGCGTTACAACTTTAAGACTTAAATTTTTAGTAAGTTCAATTTTGATCAGATTTCCATCTGAAATTCAAATTCGTTTCTTTGAAATAGAAATTCAGAAAATTTGTACATTTTTTACTAATTTTTAGTTTGCTTACTAATCACAATCAAGTTATTTTTATTACAAACAATCATCTTAGAATTTTCACACCTTTTACCAGAAACTTTCTGTCGATCAGAAGTCCATAAAAAATTGGAAATGTTGGACACACAACCGATCAAAAAATTAGTCAGAACGACAAAAAGAAAACTCAGCAAATAATTACTAACGCACACAGAAGTTAAGTTAGTAAGCAACCGGATAGAAAAAATATTTTTGGTGCCTTCCATATACTTAGAATATCGAACACTTTTTAGGTTTTAAATGCTAAAACCATGGATATATATAACCATATATATCCATGGCTAAAACACGCTAGAGCCCTGTGCAGAAAAAATTTTTATAACCGCAACCGCCCGCATCCACAACATTTACGAGACAACTACTCGCATCCGGAACGTTCACATCAAATACATTTATCCGTATCCGCACACTATCCGCGTTTAAACAAACAACCGTAATCAGCTATTTTTATTTCGGAGCTTAAATTGAGATAGTTACAGTGTGAGACAATTCATTTATACTGTAATTTGACGTTTGCAAGTTAGGTCATTGCTAGATGATTTTTTAATACTGATTCTGGTCTATCTTGGTTTTCTTATTTCTGTAACCATCTTTCTTCAGTTGTTCTTTATAATGCTACTTCTAACTTCTCTACTCTTACTTTTGAGGTACTTCAAGAATCTACACTTAGCCCTCTTCTATTTATACTCCATACTCTGAACTAATTCGTATTATTAATACTTTTTTTCTTACTAATCAACTACATACTGACGATTCCTATATTTGTACTTCTTTTCCTCAATCTAATCTCAATAGTGTTGTTCATAACTTATTTCTATTTCTCTCTTCTATTATCGCTTGGTGTGACTCTATGTATCTTAAATGAAATCATTCTAAGTTTGAATTAATATGTTATAATAAATCTAAACACTCTATTAATATTTCTTCTATTATCTTACCTGATTCTAAAGCTTTCAATGTTTTTTTTATAAGTTTTGTAGTTTAGGCTTTATTTTTGATTCTAGGATGTCTCTTTTCTTTTCAGATTAACAGTGTTGCAAAAAGTTCTTACATCTACGTAGAATAAAAAACTTTTGCTTTTTCTTGACGATCCTACTCTTCTCCTACTTGTTTTTTTCTTAGTTTTATCTAGGATTGATTATTTTAACTCGCTTTACTATAGTCTTCCTGATTCTACACTCTATCCTGCAGCTTGTCTAGTTGCTAGTCACCCCATTTTTCTCATATATCTTTATATCTTGTTCTCTTGATATATATATATCCATGCCTGAACGCCCAGTTCACGGTCGTTTTCGTAGTCTCACTTTTTCTTAACTCGTGTTAAACACTCTTACTCTAAATCCGCGTTTGCTTTTTCTGGTTTTTTTCTGGAAGTCTCAACCTTCTTTACCTATTTATCCATCACTGGCAAAGTTCAGAGCGAGTCTCAAGATCCCTCTGTTTGTAAAATTCACTGAGAAGCGCCCATGAACACCGCCGAAGGGGCACTTAACTAACTGATTGATCGATTGATCGATTGATCGATTGATTGATTGGTTGGTTGATTGATTGGTGATTGAATGATTGAATGATTGATTGATTGATTGATTGGTTGATTGATTGATTGATTGATTGATTGATTGATTGATTGATTGATTGATTGATTGATTGATTGATTGATTGATTGATTGATTGATTGATTGATTGATTGATTGATTTAAAAAATATTTTATCCAACAAAATAACAATTAATTTTGGCTTGGGGACCAAGCGGGTTATACACTATACAGGCCACCAATTAAGAGAATATAAGGTAAATTAGCATAACTTGTTATAAATAAGAATACAAATAGAATATCTGGTGTCATATGAATCGTAGAGATCGGTGATCATGTTTTTGTCAGAATTAGTTCGACCCTAAAATTATTTACACTTGAGTTTACCTTTAGCGTTGTTGTATCGAACGAGAATGGACAAAGAATAGGTACAAATAGATGATCGAGTTGATATTCGACTTTTTTCCTTATTAGTCTCATTTATGTCAGTTTTGATTTCGGAAAAGCACGAGCGGCCAAACATTCTATAAAGTTATTACAAATTTTATATAATTTTCATGATAATATAAAATATAATTATAATATAATATAATTATAAATAATTGATTCATTTTTATTTTATCTCTCTGTCTATCTTATAATTTATTTATAATAGATTCAAATTCTAACATGTAACTACTAAACTAAAAGTTCTCTTATCTACTCTCTTGTCATTTCTCTCCATTTTTTCTGGGTATTTTTCAGATATATTTCCTCCTAGAGTTGAGTCTCCAAATAAAACATTTCTGTCTTATGCTGTCTATTGAATATATGGTGTACATGTACACTTTATAATTTCGAATTGTAAACTACAATTTGATGTTTGTACTTTTTTGAAGCGTTTACATTGTACTTGTACTTCTTTAAGTACATGTGCCAAGCAAGTTATGAGTATGAGTACAAGTATTTAAATTTTAAATGAATGCTTAAAATCGGTGCTTGAGTTGAGTACAATTTAAGTACCACATCAAAGAGTATCGAGTTTTTGTTGTTAAAAATTAATTTAAAGTTGTAATTTACTTCTGTGAATGTTTTAGTTTGAAACAAGTATGTGATAATTATTTAAATAGTTTTGTACAAACAACCATGAATTTAGAAAAACAATGTTCTTTTTTGTACAGGAATTTTTCTTTCAAAGTTAATATTTTACCAACTTCAGTCATGTCTTTGATTCCTGTGGTTGTCAATGTATATGATATGGTTAGTGATTCAGAATTTTGCCTTAATATTTTGTTATTCTATTATTTTTGGGCGCTATAAGTAAAAAATTAGAAAACTGTTTGCGCTACTGACATAAGAAATAGCTTTGCTCTGAAATATGGTAGCTTCTTGTATAAATATTGGTACTTCAATCAAATTTTGTTTATCATTGAACCTTTTGAGATATTGCATTTGGAGGAATGACTCAATGCGAGCCTGTTAAGTGTTTAACGTTGCATGTACTTGGTTTGAGTGTAGAAAGAGACCTGGATGAGTGATTACTGCATGTTGCTCCAAACATTTGCATGTTTATATGAGCTTCTTTGATATGAACCTCTGATGGTTATTGATGAGGTTAATCGTTAATGATTTTCTGTTTGAGTAATAATTAAATAATCCTATTAATGCTGTTTGATTTTTAGCTAAAAATAGTGGAAATAATTTAAATTTGTTGTGATTTTCGGGCTGTTTTGGAATGCTTATATAATAAGCACAGCTACTTACATTACTCTCGTCTAAAGAAAATTTTAATCATTTGCTAAATGGAAAATTGTATTTATTCATATTTGTGTGCTCACTGTTAATGTAATAAGTTAAATGACTGATTTTACGTTCGTAAAATAATATTTTGTACTAATTTCATCTAAGAAATCATTTTTTTTAGTACTGGTTTAATGAGTACACATCTTCATTGGGTATTGGTGTTTATCATTCGGGAATTGAAATATATGGACAAGGTTAAAAACGTTCTTATTAAAATTAATATTGTTATTTTTTATAATTATTGGTTAAAATGTCATTGTCTTGCATGTAGAATTTGCATATGGAGGACACCCATATCCATTTTCTGGAATATTTGATATACCTCCACGAGAGGCTGAGGAACTTGGAGAGCAGTTCAAATTCAAGTCATTACAATGTTTTGATCTATGTTGTCACCAATTTTATTATTATTTTTTTTTTAAGGGAATCCATAGTCATTGGTTTCACAGATCTTCAAAAGGAGGATGTATTACGAATCGTTGAACAGCTTGGCCATCAGTATCACGGAAATCAATACCATTTGTTAAATAAAAACTGCAATCATTTCTCTGCTGCTTTGGTTGAGGTTTAAAATTTGTTGATACTTCACTACTATGATTATTCCATTTTTAAAGTTCTAGCAGTCATCTATTTTTAAAGTTCACGCCTCATCAAATTTCTATTTTATTAGATTGGGTGTTGTTTGTTTAAAATTAAAATGTTCTCTCTCTTTCTCTCTCTCCTTCTATATATATATATATATATATATATATATATATATATATATTTTTAAATTTTAATACTTTTAGGTAAAATTGGGTTAAAAAAAACAAATGAAATTTTTGTTTGAAATAAAAACAATAGAAGTCACAAATTTTTAGTTTTATTTAAATGTTTTTACTGCGTTTGGTTGCTTCAGTTCCATTAGAAAGCAAATGTGTTCATCCATAACACTTCATCACAATAGAACAGATATGAATTACGTTAAATTTATGTAAATTAACTTAACTTTTTATACCTTACATGAATTTTTGTTCCATTTCTTGTTTGAATTTGATAAAATGATTGTTCGTTCATAGTTACTTCTGTGATTTTTTTCAGGTTCTTTGTGGCAAAGAGCTTCCAAATTGGGTCAATAGATTGGCTTACATGAGTTCTTGTATCCCTTTTGTCGAAAAAGCTATACCTAAAGAATGGCTAACACCATTGGCCTTACAAACATCCATCCATCAACATAACGAAAATTTATCACCCTTAAATGAAAGATCAGATAGCAACTATAAGCCAACATGATAGAGTTGCACAATTATATTTGGTGTATTGTTTATTTTTGCAAAATAAATTTACTCTCTTTCGAAATTTTAAAGATATGTTCTTTCTGTATATAGGAAGTATTTAGCGTTAAATATTTTCGGACGTTTGTATTCAATGTTAAAAAAATGCTTGGATGATTTTTTATGTTGAGCTGCTGAAAATCTATATTTGTTTCCATTCATTTTTAATAAGACTTTAAATGATTATAACATATAAAATAGTGTCGGCTAATTGAATTTATTTTGAAACTTGCTAATTATATTATATAAATTTATTTCTTACAAGATTATTTAGAAATGTTTTTCATCGTTAATTGAATATACATTTTTTTTATGTCTATGTTTTGTGACCGTACTCTCATTATGTTGGTTACTTCATTAGTTTCGTTTAGAATGTATTACTGTATTTTGCTCTACTATGGTCTTCTCTACTCTACACTCTTACTAAAGCTTTTAATTCTGATGTTCGTTCAGTTGCTTGTTCTACTATCTTTTTTCATATCTCCATATCTTACTTGTTATTTTATGCTGGCTACCTATAAAATACTGTTTATTTTTCGAAATTTTCACTGCTTGATAAATTTTTCTTTTCCAACATATTATGTTAACATGTATTTTTTTATTCTTTAAAAAAAATTTGAATCTTACAGACTGAGGCAGATTCTTTTTTAAATGCGTGTTGCATGCCTTGTATAATCACATTTTTATTATATACCTACGTATGTGTTAATGTATTTTAAGAGATACTTATTCAATTTTTATTCAATTTTAGTTAATTTATTTGTTATAGATAAGAGTGTAATTTAGGTTTTGTGCTGGATTTGAGTCTAGCGTAGGCTAGTTTATGAAGTCATACAACAACAACACACGTTTAGACGGCATTTTCCCCGAGATCGGGGGTTGCCGTTTGGCTACCTATGATGAAACCGAAATACCCCTCGACTCCATCCACATCTGTCACTCGCCTCAGTATCACGCAACCCCGCTTTCACCCTGTCCTTCTCCACCTGCTCTCTCCATCCCAATCGCGGACGACCCCTTCCTACCACTCCTTCAACCTCGAACTCCAACGCTCGCCTAATCCCGACCCTTTCATCCCTTCTCAACACATGTCCATACCACCGCAATCTCGATCTCCTTATCAATGTCACAATGTCCTCATTCAGTCCCATCATTGACATCAGCTCTGTACTACTCCTCCTATCCTTCACTTTAACCCCACACATCATCCTCACCATAGCTCTTTCAGCCCTCTGCAGTACACTTTCCTCCTCTCTCCTCAACACCCAAGTTTCACCACCATATATCATCGCTGCTCTCACACATGCTTTATATACCCTCCCTTTCATCTTCACTGACCATTTCTTTCCACACAATACCCCACCCAGTCCCAAATTCAC